TATAACAAAAGTATTAAAGTCCTAGATAAGATTTTGAAATGCACTTGAAAGATAACTTAAAATATCTAATAGGTTATTAATCATAGTATGCCAACTTTGTTGTCCGTAATGTGACATTCACTGGAGAAGCGATGTAGCTGGCTGACATTCGATATATCATGAGCATTGTCTGTCACATCTGAGGCTGGTGACATGGATGAGGGCACAGATGCTTCAAATATTCATCCGTAGGTAACTTTTTATTCACCTTTGTATTTTTCTCGCTTCACAGCTTTACTCTATTAAAGTGTAGTCTATACCACTACAAAATTCAACAAAACAAACACACTCTGTAACATATTTCGGGGTCCCAAATTTCGTGCATTTAAAAGTATTTCGTGGACTCTGGTCTCGTTGCTGAGTAGGTAAAAGTATCTGCAAATACTTTCATTGTAGATTGATTCGTGGAATTCCCTACGAAAAGTAATGGTTTTACGACATCGGAAAAAAGACACCAGATATACTCTTCATAGAGGATTATTCAACAGATCCATCTTGAATATACTTGTTGTGTCCCACGGCATTCTCGAGACGTTTTCTCCTTGTCTTTTGCTTTGGTGACGTAAACATTTGAAAGACTGACGGTATAGCGTCTAATCTCAGTGAGTTAGTATAAATTTAAAATTCAATGGTTGTGCGGTACCTCACACACTATCTACAGATAATCTTGGCTACATACACCTTGACCAAAAAATCAAATTGTCAAGAGAGGAAATGGGTATTTGTTTGGCTTCTAAGAAATCTTGGCTGGCCGATGTTGTCCATTTAGCACCATTTTCTGTTAAATACAAACGTACGTGTTTTGAAATGAAAATACTTAATTACTTTACATGGGACCAAGGTCAAAAAGGTTCGAAAGGAACGCGATGACAAGATATCTAAACAAATAAAGGGTGCTATTAAACCTGTGTCATATTGAGTAATGCTGAAAACGGTTCTGTAATTAGTAAATACATGTAAATCGCTGTAAAGAGACATCAGGTCAATGTTTTGTTTATTTCCTTTCACACCTAAATGGTGTTCATTGCCTCCAAAGATCTGCGTTTTAGATGTTGTTTCCTAAATAGAAATTAACAGTCGTTATATTTGCACTTGAATGTGCTTACATTAAAAAAATAATGAGGTATCTATTATATCACCAAACTACGACTATGTATTCTGAATGAGATCTCACATTCTGCTATATCGGCGACAGCCTCCATGTCGGCCAGATTCATCAATTCCACATTTTAAAATGAGAGTCAATGTAATAATACCAATGTTGTTTTAACACAGACGGTAAAAAAACACACACACTACCTCCACACACACACTCTCTCTCTCTATCAGAGAAAATCCGTATAGATTATCGCTAAACACTAAGATAAAGTACCCGGGCTCATGTTGTTTGAAAAATACTTTCTTAGGAACCGGACAAGTGTCAAACTGGCGCAAATGTGCTATATGAATGGTATGATTTCTGAGATTTCCCAGTAAAACAAACATGGTAATTCACATCGCGATTACAGTAGACCACGCGGGAAAATGTTAAGTCTATTCTATAGACCATGTGGTTACACAGATAATAATATATGAGTAATTTAAGACAGATTAAATTTTAACAAGAATACATTTCAGAAAACATCAAACATTGTTTATATGTGTATTTTTACAGAATAACTTAGATACATCAATGTGTATAATCTATTGTGGTGGTATTTGGTACTTAGATTCTGAATTGTTCTTTTAATATGTGACGTTCAATTCTGTAATTTTTTCCCATACGATGACCTTGTAAATTTTATAATGATAAACCTGCGTATGTAATATACATCACTGTCACACTGATTCACGTAAGGTTGACACGTCTTGTTCTACGAAGAGGCATTATTCTTGACACGTGAACAGCTTAACATGGAACATTTACGTATTTCTGTGAACAGTTCATGAAAAAAAAATAATAAAAAAATAAACTTTCTATAATTGTAACATGACAAGTGACACTGATGGATAATTTATCAGAAATCAATAAATAATTTTACGGACTTAATCTTTAGAAATGATTTGTTTCTGTTTACGTATTAGAAAGTGTATATGCATTTGAATAAATTATGTTCTCTTTCTCTACGTTCTACCGCATATCTTTGATTTTTTTAACTCAACTTACTAAAAGGAATCTCAAGAATCCGGCGTTTACTGGCGTACTTATTTTGTAATTATAATTTGTTACTAGGACAGGGGAAGCTGGCTTCATTCCAAGGCCGACTGGCTAGATCTAACGATAATCTGTTAACTAATTTACACTCGCTGTTCACGTTATGAACATATTTAAGTCAAGTGGCGAAATAATTGTGCCTTGCACATTTAATTATAAATACATGAATATTGGGAGTTTCATTATTAGAACACATCAACTGTTAAACCAGAGATAATTATGTTATCTTGCTTTAATTTTACTATATTTTGCTCTTTTCCACAATGACAAACATAATCGAGAAAATGTAGCTTCGTTTCCTGTATGCACATGTTGGACTTCTTGCACAATTTGAAAACTGAGTAACATTCATTACGAGTAAAAACCATTTCTAAAATTATCACTTTAAGGCAGCAACATTGAAGCCTGGTTCCCTTTTTCGAGGCTAATATCTCCCGCTGTACTTCTAACATAGAATCACTCCCCTTCAGCTTGTCCGTGTTCCATCTATCCTCACAACTAAAAACAAGATGGACACGTAGTTACTGCCGATCTAATTATTATTTTAAATTTTTTAGCTACTATTTTTATTTCATTTTTTTCCGGAAGGGTCTGAAAAATCTAGACTTTTCCCATTAATTGGAATGTGATATTTAGGATACGTATGGGTCCCAGAGAAAGCTATACAAAAGAGTGGATGAAACAAGAGTATGGTGTGTTGGATTCATTATCAGAGTATATTATGCAGTGTAAAACCTAAATGAAAGTAAAACACGGTACAAGCTTTTTTGGTCCAAATGTGGAGATACAAGCTTTTTTGGTCCAAATGTGGAGATATTCCAGGCGATTTGCATTAAAATATCTGTATCTACAGATGATTTTAACAATCTGTAAAGCACTTTTATATTTCCTGCCTACAAAACAAACTGTACTTGTTTGATAGCCAGGAAATTCGTATGTATTCATTATCCAAAGACGAAATAGTGGCCAATTATTCTTCATTGTAACAAATTTTCCTATTAACGGCTAATGCTAGTTCGTGTAAACGTTTGCCATTGTGCTACCAATCAGGGTTAGAATTTAATTGTAAAACACTATTCTCTAGAAATGGACTTCATGTATTATGGATTATCTACTCCAGATAAAGGTCTTCTTTTCCTGGTTAATGCTTTTTACTCCATGATCTCCAATACCAAATTCCAAACTTAAGGAGTGCATTTATTCTGGTTATAAGCACTTATTTTAAAGAAAGCTGGACGCGATATTAGAATGTGATTGTTAAATCTTAGAGTATGTATTTCGTAAAAACTTCCCCAAGGCCAATATGAAACATATGGAAACCGTAAAAATGATCACAAGATCTTTCAACAGACTATTGACACACTGGAAACTTTCGTGGTCGCCATTATGATCCCAGTTAAAATAGAATCTGATATTGGATGTGTTCTATGTTCATCAAAATACACAGATATTTCGTTGTTCTATCTCTATTGCTCCTTTTGATAGTGTGACAATATAGGATTACCCAACATTTACATGACGGGCGTTGTTGATCAACAGAAGATGCCGATGACTCCAGCCGGAATTTCTGGGAATCTCTGTATATTTTTCTGATATTTTACAGATTTTGAGTTTTGACTTTGTTGACATGTCAGCATTCTCGTTTTCCCAGAACTGTGGCATTAACGGTTGGAGAATGGTAAAATATTTAATAATTGACTGCTATTAAGATATGAATATAAACAGTGTGAATATACGAGTTGGTACTGATAAAATGTATACATGCATACCGTATCATGGACAAGAAATGAAAGTGGTTATAAACACATTCAAGCTGGTGGAGAAATGTTACACACATGCAGATTAGTTGAGAGCTGTTAAACATGTTGATTGGTTAGAACAATGGTTGAATAAGCGACAAGGTGATTTTCACCTGGGGCCGTGGATGGATTAAGAGAGGTTAACACATAGGACGGTTGAGAAAAGCTAACATGTAGATTGTTTGAGTGGTTAAACACCTACAGATTGTTGGAGAGGTTAAATACGTTCAGATTGTTTGAAAGGTTAAACACCTACAGACTGTTTGAATGGTGAAACACCTTCAGATTTTTTAGAGTGACTGAACATGTACAGATTGTTTGAAAGTTGCTAAATATGTAGAATGGTTGAGAGTGGCCAAAAACGCACAGGTTGTTTGAGAGTGGTTAAACACATAGATTGGTTAAGTGGATAAGTGTTTATTGGTTGAAAACACCTAAAAACTGTTTGGAGTGGCTTAAGACATACAGGTTGGTTAAATACATACAAGTTATTACAGGTTTATGGGTTGGTTAAGACACAAAGATGTGCACTCTTGATCCATGTTATACTGGTGTGAACTGACTGAACATCAATAATTACAAAAACATGAACGTGAGTGGTAAAGATACACATTTTTGTATGGTAGATACACAGACAGAAATTCATCAACATAGCTATTCAGCTTTACCATAACTTCTCAAAATTCCTTAACAAATTTCAAAATGACAATATCAAATCTGTCAGGCTTGATTTAAGTACATTGACCCATCTTGATTTAGAAATGGCCCGCAAGAAAAATAGTGTTTTGTTGACAGTAGATGAAACAGCAATGAAATGGGCTTGACAAATTATGTATGTCCAATTAGCCAGACAATGCCTTACAATAAACATCCTGTCATAGCTTGAAGTCTAAAATAGTGGGATAATACCACTAATACTTTAGCACAGAAAAGACACATGTTCTTACAAAGGAAACAAATGTTGTAAATATTTTCAGGAACTTTTTATTCATTTTTTTTTCAATCACATTTCAGACCATCTGTGATCAATGACAAGATTTGTCCTTTACTCTCTTCTTACATAGCACTACTGACATCACAAGACAAAGCATCAATGACCCCAGATATCATCACTGGAATTATATATAAATGTGTGCATTCACCTTCAAAAAAGCTACGGTATCAACAAAAGCATTCATCAAAATCATCATTTTCGTGCATCTAATATATTTGTTTCAAACACCAGATATAGCCAATGGTGGCTATCTGATCAGTCAGGACAACTTAATTGAATCTATATACACTGGATATATAAAATGGAAAAATAATAGTACAATAAATTAAGCCCAAGAGACGTATAACCTGTACTTTAAGGTTTAAAGGGAGGTAATCCATTTACAGAAACAAAAATACCTGTTAAATGATACTTCTATAAAAACTTATACTAACCAACAAAGAACATGAATCATCCATTTGTGCCTCGTTGAATCTTCAATCCAAAATGTTATTTTCAGAGTTGGATCTTCTATTCAACTTGTGTTCTGCAGAGTCAATTTTTGTGAGAAGAATATTCCAATCACTTGCCTCCATTTCAATTACACAAAGCATACTGTTATGATGGTGTTGCAACAATAACTGTACACTCCTTAAAAACAGCTAATTGAGAACACAATTATGAATCAAGATTAAGAACAAACAATGCAGTGTTAGGAACTCAATGATTATTTTTCTGACAAAAACTTACTATGCACATAAAATGATTTATAAAGGTGAATAAATAACATCGAAGACATCATGGCAGTATAATCCCAAGTCTGTATGAATGAAAAAAGTATGCTCAACAACTCATGCTGCGAAGAAGACGACACAGGAAATCTTCACAACTTACATTGATGTTAGTGATGCATTTCATATAATGTCACATTAAAGAGATGTTGTTATCCGAGTATGAATTGGGATATCCTGGTTATGAAGAAATCTATGTTTAACTGTAGAGGTCATCATCATCTTGTTCATTGAAGTTTCCTCCAGAATTTCCACCTTGCCTTGGCTCATTTCTGCCTTCACTTTGTCCTGGGAATCTTTAAGAGAAAACAGTGATTGTTAATGATATATTTATACAGCCATACAACGAATATGAACATAAACTCTAACTTGACAAAGCAAGTATTGCTCCAAAATCTATGAGATTCGCAGTGGTTATTTTAAAACTATTACCAGTAAGCATTTCTAACAAATAAATAAGGACATTTTTACAACAAATTGCTAAGAATGCTATACAAAGTTTAGTTGAGTGATATCATATTTCAAATGTCACCTCTATGAAATACTTGGGTTTAATAGAGCTTTGCAAAGTATTACAATAAATAGGAAGCGTTGCAATACATTAATTACCAAGGAAGATCTTTGTTTAATAATTCTGAATTACAAAAAAGGGGTTAAAAATGAAAACTACAGATAAATTATTGATCTCACACCCCTACATTATATTCCACCATCTTGCCTTTCAGGAGTTGTAAATTCATAGCAGCAAACAGAAGATGACTATATCTTGATATGGGTGATAAATCAGAGTCAGAATAACTCCTTTAAGTTGCTGCAATGTCTGTATGTATTGATCTTTTTAAATAACAACTAACCTTGCAAATCATATCTTTTTTTAAATAATGACTGTTTCATTAGCCTTTAATTATAAACGTCATGCCGTCAAAGAGAGCTCAGTATTTACCTGAAGTTTCCTCCAAATCCTCTACTCTGTTGCAAGGTCTGTGCAAACATTTCGTATTTCCTGATGTCATTGTCATTGACTGATCTCCTGGCAAATTTCATTGACTCCTCAAAGTGAGCTCTTGATATTTCTGGTACAGGGTCATAGTCCTCTGTTTCCTGGAGGCAAAACACAGGCATATTGTAAAGTAATATGAATTCAAGATTAGTAGAGTAGCATCAAATGATGACCACTGTCCACTTTACCTAAAGTGAAAATAACCAAGATCAACAGCATGTAATTAACACATGCTCATTTTGCAATAATTTTGGCACAAAAAGTCCTAAAAGTGTTTTAAGTGCTTAAATGTAATTTTTGGTTGGTGGTTGGGAAAACACTAAAATGCATTTTATGTGTGATTGGTGCAATTACAAACTCACAAACTCAAGTTGTGGGGATAAAGAAAAATAAGATTTTATGGGTTAAACAATGCAAATGTTTTGATTATTAAAGAGATCAAAATCAAATTGTCAATTTATTCTTCCAAATGCATGTTTGCTCAAAATTCAAAAGCTCAAGGGAGATAACTTGTGCTGTTTTTTAAACTCGTGGGATATGAATACTAACACAACTTCGAAAAATTGGCAAAGGAAAACTAGAATATACATGAGGTAGCCACACAGCTTAGCCAAAATGGTCAGGAATCCTTAATGAGGCCATTCATTAGTAAGCATTTTTGTTGATTTTAATCAAGCTGACTCATGGCATGTTCGTAATACAATATCACTTCAATACATTGTAGCGTACCAGCCACAAGCAAGCTTAATTTTTTGCATGGATTTGACAAGACAAGAAAATATAATAACAACATGTGAAACAAGGGCCGTCAGAGACAACTTATGCTCCCTGATTGGGACAAAATTAAAGTATGAAAAATAACAATATAGCCTTAATTATGAAAAAGAGAGTGATGGTTCTCTCCTGGCTGTGATCTATCTACCTATGAAGTTTTATGTTGATACCTCTTATTGATTTTGTGTTATGCTCCGGACAAAACTATGATGGACAAACGAAAGGACGGACAAATGGACAAAGCAGTGATTTTATGCTCTCCCTTCAGGCAGCATAATAAATAAAGTAAAGACAGCATATAATGAGTACTTCCAAACACTCATTCCTTGAAAACTTCCAGTATTTGTACAATAAGGTAGATTGAAAATTGACAAATTTCCCAGTTTGAAATACATGGTGACCTATTGATTATTTTTTTTCTGTTTTGAAAAATCTAAATTTATAGTGTTTATGCATGCAGATATAGAAAATATTCAGCATGTTTTTAATACATTTTGGGAAAATCAACTGACATTTTTTTATATCAATTTTTAAGAAAACCAGCATTTTTTTTTTGCTCAAGGAAGTAACATTTATTTGGCTGTGAAAAAAGAGGAACAGAATGATATTTTGTGGGTGTAATGTTAACATTGAAAATAAAATTCTCTGGGGGTTGCTTATGTAACAAAGTGACAGAAACTCTATTGTATACATGCTTGGACATTAAATAAATTTTATTGTATGGGTGGTTGGGGTAAGAAATAAGTGCCTCCTGACACCTCCACCCCCCCACCTTCCACATCACCACTTCACATTTAATCTTGGATGAGCCCCTATACACTAAAATTTGATTGCACAAAATTAATTACTTTTACAATATTATAATTTTGCAGCAAAAATATGTGTTTGAATTTTTAAGAAGGATACATGAAATACTACGATGCGTGTCATGTTTGAAAAGTGAAATACATCAATCCTGCTATTCCATGCCCTATCAAAGGATAATAAAGGGCACACTACACTCGTATACAAGATTAGCATTAAGAAGATTCCCTTACCATATCTGCATCAGGGTTGTTGGCACGTTCCCTCTCCATCCTAATTTCTGCCTCTATAGACTGTCGGATGGCCAGTTTACATGCCCTCTGACAGATCTCAGTTAGATCAGCACCACTGAAGCCCTGTGTGACCTTAGCTAGGTATTCCACATCAACATCCTGGACAAATCATTACATACCCTTGTTATAATAGGCATGTCACAACAAAAATATGTGTTGGCAAAGAATTCAAAATAACTTCTACTTTGATAATATAGACATCTTTTATTAAAGATTGGGAAGCTCAACCATTCTCCCATTTTATCTGCTGAAGTCTGGTCATCACCAACAGCATGACAAATAAATAAAATTGAAAGCAAAAACATATGATGTCACTATCAACTTCTGAACAAAAACGTTGATATGCAAGTTGGAATAAAAAATAATTAATGGTGATGTAAACTGCTGTTTTCAATCAGATTTTTTACAGGATGGAAGACATTCAGGAAAGGAAAGGATATGCCAAATAAATTCAGAAAATTATTGTACAGTTCTCGGCTGTCTTACCATGACCTTGAACCAAGAAATTTTCATGACCATTAATTTTACATGACAAAGAACTAAGCCAATAAACAAAACCTCAAAGCTTCTATGGTATCTTTTTACAGTTTGTAATTGTTTCTTCTGATGTATTATTTTTATATACCTTAGAAACAGGTGATTTCCTGAGGTTGGCCTTGAGAATAGAAACTCTAGATTTGCTGTCAGGAAGAGGAATGTAGATCAGTTGGTCAAGACGACCAGGTCGCAGAATGGCTGGATCAATGATATCTGGTCTATAAATAAACAAATTTCAATTAATTAAATATTCTCTACACAGTTCACCGAGGTATATTTCCAAGACACATCATATGTTACATAAAGTTAATCTCAGTTAGAAATGCCTTAAATTTTTCAATAAAATATCTCCTCACTTAGGCTAAATTTAGTTTGATTAGGTTCCAGTGGCACTGGTCATGCTGCGTAAAATTCTATGAGCATCTTAACACCTCAATAAGATACATTGGCACATATTTTGTATTGAATCATTGAGATACTCTCAGAATCACTCCAGTAAAAAATGAAAGATATTTTTAACAGCCAAACTTGCTGCATCTACAGCAAAACAAAATGCAACACACCTGTTTGTGGCTCCAATGATGAAAACATTTTTCTTTGCACTCATACCATCCATCTCTGTAAGCAGCTGGTTGATAACTCTGTCTGCAGCACCACCTGTTCAAACAAAGAAGCAAGTGACATTCAAAGCAGTGTTGTAGCTGTTTTCATTTTACAACTGCACAAGAAATGCGCAAATCATTAACATGGTAAAATCTATTTGTTGCTAGAGAGGGAGTCCAACATGATAGTTCTTCTGCATACTTGATGTTTATTGTGGAGCGTTGTTAAAATTTTTTGGCTGTAGGTGAGCCGTCGTCAGAACAAAAGCTCTAGGCAGTGTATTGTGACGTCATGGATACTAGTGTAAGCAAGCAAAACAGGTGACATCCAAATTCAACAGTGATTATTTGTTGCTAGGTTTATTAATTTCAAGAAAAGAGTTAATAAGCATCATAGCTTGGATATAAATGCACAGGATGTCCAGTAACTGTCTGCTGATTGGTAGAAATACCTTTAATAGCAGTGAAAATATAAAACTGGTAAATTGAACAAATTAATCAAAATTTACTTCTATGTTAAAATGAACTTAAATTAATAAAAATCATAAATATTGTAAGACATGAATGCTTCTGTTCCAAGCAAATAAGTATCAATGTTTTCAAAAATATACAGTTTAAGAGCAATACTGACCTTAAAATCAATGTAATGTTGTAGTTAAAATTTGTGTAAGATTTTGTCAAAAGTTCCTAAAAAACTTAGGTCACTAAAGTAATTAGTCATCACCAATTCGAAGAAAATGGTTTACACCATATGCCCCTCAAATGAATGATGGTATAAAAACATCCGTGTGAGACAAGATATACATGAAAACTGTTGGACAGAGACAGGACATACTTAGGTAACACAACGTATCCCTCTAAATGGCACAAGTATGAAAACTTTTCTTCATAATCACGCTTACCTCCATCTCCTGCATTTCCACCTCTGGCTTTTGCTATGGAATCTAACTCATCGAAGAACAGGACACAAGGTGCAGCAGATCGAGCCTGAAATGTAAGGTAAACATAAATATCTATTTTTGTAAACAAATAGATAAACCTCCCTGTCAATTAGTTATCTGTTCTTGTAACCATGACTATCAGTGTTATTGTGTGTGATGTATTTTATGATACTGACAATCAAAGTTGTAACAGATATTGGGAATATTCTACTACTTCGACCAACCTTGGTCCCCTAGCAATTTGTTTTCAGCAATTTTATCTGGACATATCTTGTTGATGGCTTGTCAACTTATCACCATAACCTCACCAACAACTGCATCAAAAAGGTTTTAAGTATATTCATACAAAGATAATCAAATTAAGTCAATTTCTTTCTAAACTGAAAATTGTCCTTATTCTTTTCAACCTTGATTTTATCAATAGCATGGGTACCTAAAGAGTCATAGATTTATGCTTGGTACAGGAACCATATACCTAGAGTAACACTACTTACCTTATCAAAAATGTCTCTGACATTGGCTTCTGACTCTCCAAACCACATGGTTAACAGTTCTGGACCTTTGATTGAGATAAAGTTGGCTTGGCATTCATTAGCAATGGCCTTAGCCAGCAAAGTTTTACCACATCCAGGTGGACCATAGAACAGAACACCTTTTGAGGGTGTCATTCCAAACTTCATGAATTTCTCTGGATGTTCTACTGGATACTAAAACAAGAAAGCACAATTATATTACACTAGACATCAAGTGTGTGTGACAGAAATTTAATGTAACTGATATACCTATATCACATTACAACTTGAATTTCTGTTTGTAATCATATAATTTATTATGGTGAAGCATAAACAATAATACATATCTGAATTCAACTTCTATTCTTAATATGAAGATTGATTCACTTGCTATATTTTCAGTGTTGGCTTACCTGAACTAATTCCTGGAGTTCCTTTTTGACATTTTCCAAACCACCAACATCATCCCATGTGACACTTGGCACCTCTACGGCAGTTTCCCTGAGAGCACTTGGGTTGCTCTTTCCCAAAGCCCACTGTAAGCAAAGTTTTCAATTATTTAAGTTCATCAAAATTCAATAATTGTCTTGTGCATAATTTAATATAGTACACTTGTCCTTTAGAAAATAATTTTACAAAATTATCAGCATGAAAAATCTTTCTTCTTACCCTGAAATCTTCCATGGTCACAGCTAAAGAGTCAAGTACTTCAGCGTCTATCGTGTCATCTTCTAAGTCAATGAGATCCATCTTTTCTCGAATTTGCTGAAGAGCAGCCTCTGAACAAAGAGCAGCCAAATCTGCACCAACATGTCCATGGGTCTCTGAGGCAACCTGTTCCAGATCTACATCATCACCAAGTTTCATGTTCTTTGTGTGAATGCGTAGGATTTCCAAACGTCCAGTGGCATCAGGGATACCAATGTCAACTTCCCTGTCGAATCGTCCTAGAGACAAAAGATTTATCATGACATTGATTTTTTCAATAACCAAATAACTAGGGATAATAAGTGGTACTATATATATCATTATCAGTCAGAATCCCTGGAAAATTTCTATAAATACACCACATAAAAAATCATACATGTGATAGTAACCATGTTCAAAAAGATATTAATATAAAAGGAACATACCAAATCTTCTCAAAGCTGTATCAATGCTGTTAGGTCTGTTAGTGGCTGCCATAACAATGACATGGGATCTCTGTTTCAAACCATCCATGAGTGTGAGAAGTTGTGATACAATTCTTCTTTCTACCTCTCCGTGCGTCTACAAAATAAAAAATATTTGAAGAAATCAGACATTGTTAGAGAGTTAACAGATTTGTTTCCACTTATTTCATAACTATAACTTTTTTATTCCAGAAAATGGAGATTAAAATTATCAAGTAATATGCTATAATATTGTTACTCCATTTTCCAATCAATTTGTGTCTAAGTATTGTCTAATTTTATACAACTTTGAAATTAGTTGATCAAAACTTATACCTATAGTCAAAATTAATATTGCAAAAAAGCATTATTTACTTGATTAAAGAAAATACACTTAAGCACTTCTGTACAAACCTTTTCTCTCTTTGGTGCGATTGCATCCAACTCATCAATAAAGATGATGGCTGGTGCATTTTTCTCTGCCTCTTCAAAGGCTTTCCGAAGGTTGCTTTCAGATTCTCCAGCTAACTTACTCATAATTTCAGGACCTGTAGATTGTAAATAAAAGTAACATGTTAATTTACATCATTTTTGACCCAAAATAGTGTCTTAAATGCAAAGTTGAACTGTATAATACGTGAATATATTTGTTGAAGATAAGCAATTTGTCAATGTGGATACCAAACATAAATATAAACAAAAGATAACTTTCTTGCATAATTAGGAGAAAAAGAGAGGATAAATTGTTTACAAACAAATGCACTTCCACATTTTTATGTTTCTTACCATTTATGAGAAAGAAGAAGGCACCCGTTTCATTAGCCACAGCTCTAGCAATGAGAGTTTTACCAGTTCCTGGTGGTCCGTACAGCAGGATACCTCGAGGGGGCTACAAACACAACTCTAAATATGTATTCCTTGACATCTTTCAAGTGACATATTTGTTTGGTATATTGATTTTGTTGAAATTTACAAATATTTACATACAATATAAATGACAATTTATGTTTTCTCTAAATAACTTGTAAGCTAAAAATTTGCAGTTTTGACGTCTGATGATGTTATGTGATTATGTTAGATAAACTAACTACCAATATGTGAAGTTACTTCATGTTTCATTTCTGACTTCTGATAACCTGATATTTGATCAATTGAGGCATTGAACAGCAATGGCATCCAAATTAATTTATCTGACAGTAATTTTAATTCATTTTTTACTCATCTTTATAACCTGTTAAACCCCTCTCCATTGAGAAATATCTCTTCAAATTCATACATACCTTCACACCAATAGCTTTAAAGAGCTGTGGATGTCGCAGGGGTAACTCTACCATTTCTTTAATCTGAGCAAGTTGTTTTCTGCATCCTCCAATGTCATCATAGCCAACCTCATTTAGAGCTTCTTCCTCCTCCTGTAAGACCAATCATACAAAATATAACAATGTTGATGACTTTCGGCCCCAAAACATGAATTCAGTAATACTACCCTAGCAACAACATTAAGCCATTTGTTCAATTGGTCAAACATAATTACATATTTTTTTAAAACATAAACCTTTTTAAGAAATAGAAAGTCCCAATAGTTTGTACCCACTGCCATCTGTGCTGAGCAAGGAATAATTAAAACAGATATATAAAGTAAAATATCCTAAAGTTTTTTTCACTTTAAGCCATAGTTTACTTTTTTTTAATTTATGGGTGGCAAAGTCATGAAATCCAAATGTGTAAACTTGAAGATAGAAAATTCTGCAAAATTACTCAGTTGAGAAACCCACACAGTTCAGTGAATTCCATGCAGGTAGGTACAGAGACTGAAGAAAACTGGGTTTTTTATCAGCCCATAATTAATGTGAACACTGCATTAAAATGTCCAAAAAAATTACTGCTCTCTTTACTGGTTACTCTTCCCAATGGATGTTCCAAGTTCAAATTATCTTAAACAGCCAACATACATTATCTTATGAAAGCAACTATGGAGACCATTATAAGATACATTAGAAATGTATATAATTCAAATTATCTTGTAATAAATGTGCTATCATAATTAATCTAAAATTACTTTGAAGCTATTGGTAGCATCCATGAAAAGGCTATCATGTTGAAATTCTATGATGATTTTAACGAAACTTTACCTCTCTCTTGACTGGTTCCCCTTCACAATGGATAACAGTCTCTGGTGCTACAATACAGTATGGATCAGGGTCTGTTGCAATCACTTTGAACTCCACACCTCTCATCCCTCCACGGATAAGGAATATGTCTCCTTTTTTTATGGGCCTGTATGCTTCCATGAAGTATGGCTTGAGGTACACCTCGAAAATATTTCTGAAATGAACAGAAATTATTGCTAATAATCACTTACTTTCTATTTTTCAAAGACGAAAATCAGCTACGGTTTAGATAGCTATACAATGGCCTGTAAATCATGATCCAGGCGATGAACTGTGTTTTAGCTAAGCAGGCAACAATAATATAAACAAAATCAGGCATATGGTATTTTGATGGATGGTAAGGCAAATTTAAGTCATTTTGACTTCTATTTCTTTACTGCTCACCTTTATTTACATTTAAGGGACAACTTTCCAGTAGCCAAAGGCAATATCATTTTGATCGTTTTCTGATCTTTCTTTGTAATGTCTTTATTGATGGGAAATTGTTTTTCACTGCTCTCCAAATTATGTTTTAAAAATAATAGAAATTGTTTTAATCTAAAAATAAATGTTAAATGATATATTCATCACATTGTTCATCCCAAATATCTTTCTCCTGGAACCTGCTCATCACAGGGAATCAGTGGTTATGACAGGACACTAATTAGTTCATTGGACTGTGAGTTCACATGGATAAAGCATCAAGACATCCAATTTTTCCTGTATTACATAAAGGAATGAACCCCTGACTCAAATTTAATAAGGAATATCAAAATAATTAGTGATTATTTTTTGTCACCAAAACATTACCAAACTCGCTTTTTGTCTAAACTCATTTTTTTAAATGCCAGTTTATCCCAAAATGTGATATTTTGTGCTATTTTGCAATATGTTTCAACTTTTTATCATGTACTATAATAAAGAAATAAGTAAATGTTTATTTGAAAGAATATTTATTTAATGATCCTGTCTTAATTTTGAGATGTAATAATAAATGTTCATTCATATTCTGATATATATAATAGTTATCATTATGGTTTATAACAATGGTTCAATATCCACCTTTTAAGCCTGCTTAGTCTGTATGAAAATGTACAGATAACATATCTGGAGACCAAGTAGTGACCCTGCACATACATTCATGCCCAGGTGTGTAAAGGCATCCATCCAGATATATGTATGATATGCAAGGTATGTCAGTACCTGCTGAAATTGATATGTGTCTTCCAGTTATCATGTTGGGCAGATATTGAAGAGTTCTTTCGATTGATTTGCCTCATACGTGATTGGTTTCACATTACCATATCATTTTGTATTTCACATTACTATATCATTTTTTATTTAAGAAGTTTGCATAAATAATCTATGAATTTTCACTTGTTTTATAATTTCCCTTCACAACAGTGTACCATCACTGCTGAAATAAGATAGGTTATGAATCATTATATGGGACTTCCACACTTGAATCATATTATACGTAAAATTAAATCAAAATGTGTGAAGCGTCCGAGGCACAAGAGTTGGTCTTGTTCATACACTGCCCAAGTGTTGTTTACACAAAATATGTTTTGTCTTGCACTTGGTCTTTGTCAGTCTTGTGTTTGACAACTTAATCATCTCCGACTCTGGTTGATATCCCCCTATCTCACACCAGAGATGGTGAGATTCTATTATTCCAAACTGATGTACAGCAAGTCCTTCACCCAAGACTAGTGATAAGTTTAAGGGTGAGTACGCATAATATGAAATTCATATTTGAAAATGTTCAAATTATATACAGGAATGTCATCAGACAGTGCATATTTTAAGGAACAAGCCTTTTTGAAAATGATAAATGGGCAGCTAGTTTATAACCTGTTCATTGCAACAAGAAAAATGAATGTAATCTGAAATAGAATACTTCTATCACAATTTTTTCTCAAATGTTAAAAAGTTCTTTTATGGTGAGCATTGATAAAATAAATATTGATTACCCTCATATAAAATGTGATGTTAACTTACCCAGTGAGTCCTTCCACTGTGTCATCAATTGGTAGAACATGGATCCTCTTTCCATATTTTACATCTGGGCAGGCTTGGATGCTAAAAAGAAAAGTTTTTTTTTCTAAGTCTGCCTTAATATTATAGCATATTACTTTGCCTTTATATCATAGCTTATTACAAGTGAAAGTTGTAGTCAGTCATATATAATTATTGTCAAATTGTATCACCATGAAATGACTACTTCTTATTTCAGCCAAAAATGATATTTTATCAATCATCACAAAAAAACATATACAATAATAACTATGAATAAGAAGGTTATGACTGAGTTTGAATTTTTTGCACCTGGCACTTGATCCCTGCAACCTGACCAACACCTGATAATGAGTCACTTTAAATGTCCAGAATTCCAAACCGACCATAATCATGAATTTATTAGATTGGTTTTGGGAATAAACCAAAGCCAGCCATTCATTCATTGTTTTGTTTTGTCTTTGTTATTATTTTTGTTTTTGTTTGTTTGTTTAACAATGCTGACTATGAAAGCTTATGTTATTTGATGAAATTTCACTTTTGTTCCACTGCAAATACAAGGGGTTTATGTTAATGATATTTTAACAACATAATGTTATATTATACTGGACTTTAAAGCCTTTATTCCTTGTCTCTCAATTTTTTAGCAATTACATTGAAATCTCAAGGGGTGTCACTGAAGCTTTTGAGCCCTTGCATCTCTTCGAAACAGTTCCTTTACCTCACAACATCTCCCAAACGAACTCTCAAGTTGTTTCTGACACATCTGTTGATTCTGATTTTGTCATCAGTAACTGTATCATCTGATAACACAATGCATACAGTTTCCTTACGTCTCTTGCCCTTCAGAAGGACTGTGTCTCCACGGAACAGCTGGAGCTCATCCATTTTAGTCTGCAAAATAACATGATCACATTGTCTTTCACAATTTTGCTACATGAATTTTGGTTTTGTTATGATCTAGTTATCTAAATTGCACATTATATTTTGATCTTTATTGAACCAAAATGTGTTTTGACACCATCGGCTCATAAAAATAGAAATTTAGTACTAGAATAGAAATAAATAGAAGATAACTTGACATTTTTGTTTTTAAAAATAAAAGGTTACCAATCATTTAAATATTTGCTGGATTCTCTTCTGATACACCTACACAATTTTGTTAGCCTCATGAAGTAACTGAAAAGAATGGCAATTCCAGCATTTATTTTGTAGTCAGACAACAGATCTATTCTTTCTCAAATTATTGATTGTTTGAAACCAGAGTAAAGATTCTTTGGGTAAGATGAAGTTAATGGAATTAATTTTATACAAACCTGCGAAAGTGATACAACAGAGTTGTCTTCATTGATAGCTTCTTCCACAAGAAGCCTGTTTGGCCGCTCCTTTGGCTTAAGGATAGCTGTTGCCAAGTCATCACTAGAAATGAAAATATCAAAGTCTGTTTCAAACTCACAACTAAAAATTATAACTCAAGTTTGGTACCATTCATGTGAATATCCCTCTCATCTTATATGCTAGTAACTGGAAAAAGATTATTCAGATTTCTCATTGTGGCATCACAGACTTAATAAAAGTCTGCATCTGTGGGATCAATTTCTGGTAAATATAACTATTAACCTAGATTTATTGGTCTACATAAAAACAATTTTTCAATAAATCTGCAGGAAAAAGAAAAAAAAACATTTCATGAACAAAATTTACCTTTCAAGATTGTCAGAAGGTTTGTTTTCAAATCTTGGAGGCATCTCTATATGATGTGTTACTCACAAAAATCTCTAGACATACAACTATATACTAAACCTGCAGTATATGTAATGAAAGATGATTCAGTGATCACCACTTATATAGTAACAGATGACAAAGCGGAATTGAATATAAATCTCGTTTAAGTCGTGACGACACGTTTACTTTGAGCAGTCGAAATTGTAAATGACGTCACTGTACGAAATAAACAAAGAAAACCTATGTGATAATATATATTTATAGATTAAAACGTAATTTTAAAATCATGCCTAATTAAAGCAAATTTCAAAAACGAAACATAAAACAACAGGTGTTATTTCAAATAATTATCATGCTGTTCAACAACCGACAATGAAAAACAGCTGACTTTGATCGTCTGCAAATCGATACTGCGAAGATCTGATCCAAATGAAAACTTGCCTGGACAGAACAAAGCCGAACAGAGAGTTTGTATTTTTTTTCAGGCATTTACCTAAATTTTCGTTTGGGTAAAATTTTTGAATAAACATAACATCAAATGTTTGGTTCTTTAATTAGATAAAATGCTATCATACATAATATGATTTCCGTTTTCACCCGGTTTTCCATTCTCATTGCGAAACCGGTCATGACGCAGGGAAATTGAACAACCTTAAGCGATGTAACTTTAAAAGTAAAGCCAATGTAAACACAATTTTTGAGAAACATGTAGTTTATACACTTCTTGATTGGATTCAAAATCGATACTCACTTTGTTCCTTCTGCCATCGCTATATTTTTTCAATATAATATTCACGCGAGGTCCACGTCCTCTTCAGTCAAAAATGGCCGTAAGTTTGTCGTAATTAATAAATCGTTCAACGGAATCTAGTATCCGGAAAGACAGTCGTCCTATTTAATGAAGAAATCAAACAAAAACAAAAACAACCCCCCACCCCCCCCCCACCCCCCCAAAAAAAAAAAATATGTAAAGGGGAAAATATATTGTTTACCAATATCTCCAGTATTAGCAGACTTTAAATGATGGTGATCTGTTCGGTCTTATATATCATATATATCTTAATATCTTAATCTTCTGTGGATGTCATATATACTATTCATTACAAGATATATTATTAAAAGCTTGAAACATATATAATAATGAATAAGATCTCTCATTAAGGGTAAACAAAATATCATATTATCATGTATTATTATACATGAAATATTTGATGGAATTTTACGATAAATATTAATCAACCCGGCTATTCAAAATTAATAAATATTGATAGAATAGAAGTTCTTATAACAAAACCAGGAGGCGATTAGAGTGTGACGTTTCGATGATTATACGGTCACTTTTATCAGGCAAAAAACCTGTGTGGAGCGTACTAGCACTGACATAAGTAGTGCACGAGATGGTAAGGAATCGACCAACTTTTTCGGCTGGTACCGTCATCCTATGTACATTCAGTAAGGTCGAAAATAGTCATTATTTTATTATTTACCGAATATTCCACAATCCAAATCTTCAATATTTGCAGGCGATACGAAACTATAAAGGACGAACAGAAGTTACAATGATATAAACTAAAAATTATATTAATTTTAAAAATGGCCGCAATAGACACCAATGTAATGGCTTGTGTTCAGATTTATACAGGATATTAGTCAATTCCATGTCCATTGGGCCACAACTAACATGTCTCAGATCGACACCTACAGTAAAACATGGGGACATTCACAAATTGCGACTGATGTAAACACCGATAATAAATATTACCAACACCCAATTGAAATCGAGAAAAAAATCACACCCTGTCCATCATTGTTTTATGGATACAGTAGTATTATGTTTCGCATTTTAAAAATAGCATCAAATGAATATGTCTAGTACAAGACTTATCGTCTACAAGGCCCTCAACTTCTAACGTTTAAACTATCTCTTATACGTCAAAAACAAGGAACCAATTGACAAGATATTAGACGTTAATTTTTTTCATATCCATTTTATTTATTCCAGTTTTATTTCTTTTTCCTCTAAAAAAAGACAGTGGGCTTTTTTCATATCTAATCAGAAACGTAGATATGAATTTGATTTATGATATTGAAAGGAATTGTTTCAGGCCAAACATTGGAACTGAGTGCTTGTCAATTAACTCAAACCAGGCCGGATTATCGTATATTATAATAGCTCTACAATACGATTGATCAAAACTGACCTTGAATGAGCAGGACAATGTAATCTTTATATTTTTTTTTAATCATATAAATTGATTCGCGATAATCGGGTTTTTAGTTAAATTAATTTTCAATAGCTTGAGAAATCGAGAAAATGAACATTGGTACTGATAAGAAAGAGAAGTTTATAGATGGGTTCCTCTCTGCGAAAAGTAGAAAGTAATTTGAAAATTAGGATTTTAACAATTTTCCCAATAAAATTTCTATAATCTACTTGAGCAGAAACAGGAGGCTGGATTCTGTCTCAATGCAAATAGAATGCACCGATCGTAAGGCAGAATTCGGTGAACCAACTTACAAATTTTAAACAAAGCAAATCAACATTAATCTCATAAAGGACAAAGGACTTGCATTCGCTCTATCATTGCTATCTATTCACGTAACGTTTCAGTCAAATGTATCCGAATTCTCCGTTATTTGGTTCGTAGTTTAGAAGTAATTAATTTAGTTTCGAAGCATATTTACATTAAACTATAGTTGATGTCGAAAATCTTTATCAAAATTGTTAATGACATTTTTATGAGAAAATCGCTACCTGTCATTTATTTTAACATTAATATTTATTTTATAGATACGAAACTGTCTTGACATCACATATTCAACATGGCCGGCATCAGAGGTAAACAGCAAGTGCTCCGTCTTATATTATCAATTAATGTTTAACGTTGCAAACGTGTCCGTTTTAGACGCATATACTTTTTGTTAGTCGCTATTAGTTTTAAATATTCGATATTTGTAGATTTTGATGATAGTTTTAGAAAACTGTTGATGTATTTCATGTTGGTTTTCCAACTAGCCGGATGACAGGTATATGAAATTGCTACAGTAATATAACTACCTGTGCTGTCAGTCACATGAGGGGATTAGTCATAAAATAGTTTCCCCCATAGGCTAGTTGTATGGATGTGATAAAAAGTGTTTGTATACGTTATGGACATGCATGGTTTTCAGCGTGGTATGGGCATTTTACCCGTTAAAAGTTATAGTGCCATTTAAGTTAAGAGACCAATATAACTCTCATCGTATTAAATAATATGGCCTCCTCATCATTAGGTTTTATTGAACACATGCAGACGTTTTGTCAATACTTAATGAATTCCAGTATATAGCACAGTGTATCCCTATTGATAACACTACAGACTATTTTGAAGAAGTAATGCTGCACAACCTTGCAACAGATGTGCAATACAGGGTTTTGCGATTCATAAAATGAGGGAATTGGTGCATGTATTGTTGAGATTTTTGCAATTTTTAAAATGAGAATTGGTGTATATATTGCCCAGAGTCTATGATTTGTAGTGTTTTGTATTTGTTACGTTGGATATGAACAATAATAATATTCAAAATGTTTGTTAATTTAAATAAGCTGCTAATGTGTTTTTTGTTTTCAATTTTCATTCAACTCCGTCTCATCCTGATAACAAACAGCGTAAGTATTTATTATCTTTTATTCTGATCATGCTAACTCATGTTAACATTCCTTTTAGTTTTCTAAAGGAAATTGTTTTGATTTTCATTTGTGTTTTTAATGGCTCTTACTTTAGATAAGGTCAAAAAAATATATATCTGTGTTTCCATTTCTGCCTGGAAAAAATTTAGGTTGGTTGGTAAGATTTTGAATTAGTATTATCATCATTACTTTTTTTTCTTGTTTAATTATTTTTGACCCTTTAAAGTATAGCATATTGGTTTGGAAATGTTTTATACTCATGCGTCAGGTGCATATCAATGTATAAATGGCCTCTAATGTGTATCATGAGATGTTTATCATGTTGAATAGCAATCCATCAGGATTTCTATACTGTTTGCTGTATATAAATGTTAGTCTTTCGTCTGTATCATGTGGTGGGTTTATAAGGACAGATGGACAGACAGATGCATTGGTTCCTGTATAGACCTCCCCCTTCCCCTAACTTGTTTTGGTTTGGAATAAAGAAAAAATGGGGTCCTTTTTCAGATTAAATTGAGTTATTTTAAAAGAATGCATGAAGACTGTGGTGATGACGGTATCTGACAGTAACTGAGTACATATGTACAATTGAATTTATTAAATTTTGATAAGAGGCTTTAATCTTGGTACATATATTGGTAAAGTTTATAGATTAAGAAAAATTAGATTAAGGTCATACATACAACTTTGACTCCATGGATTTGATAAACAACTTTTCAATAATAATTGAAATAGCTTAGAATTGTGTAACGGGATATTTAATGGGTGTAATTATAAGACCTTCATGCATGATTGATTTCCAGGTTGGTAAGCCTTGCCTTTGCAGCAGCGATAGGTATAACATTTTTGGTGTTAGGATGTGCTCTTCCTCAGTTCAAGTGAGTATGATAAATAACTGTAACAATTTTTGTGAAATTTGTCAATTTGTAATTAGTCATGGATTTTGATACTTGACAAGAAAAGAGGTAACTGTTCATAGTTAATACAAAACCACAGTTTACATTTCTTATAACTTCTGCTTTAATATTACCTTTATATATACATGTACATACATCAAATATAACTGTTAGAAATATGTGGTAATAAAATGCATGCAAACATTTATAAATTTTAATTGTTAATGTCTATATCTGATTTAAACAATAACTTTCAAAATAATACAATCAAAAATATTCTATAATATCAATGAAAACTGTTTTGATATCCTTACAGCAACTGGTGGCCTTTGTTTGTGCTGTTTTTCTATATCCTGGCTCCTCTGCCAATTACCCTCTCCAAGCGCTGTATGAACTCGTTTGACTCCACCAGTAGTGCCTGCTTAGAAATTGCCATCTTCCTTACTACAGGGGTGGTTGTGTCATCAATGGGTTTACCAATAGTACTGGCTCATGTCAGTGTGGTATGTATATATTATCTACTGATGTTAAATAGTCATGTATCATCTGTACTGCTTAAGCCACTGTTAACTAAATTTGACAAAATGTGCTTATCATGGAAAAGTTCTTCATTCAATTAGTAACTAGAATGAGTAACTAACTAAATATTGTATATTTTTTAGTAAACACTTGACCAAATTGTAATACGAGTCATTGACTCAAATTTGTTATCAAGTATAAATAAAGACTATTATTATCATTATTATTATTATTAACTAAATAATAATGATAACAACAAAATTTGATCAATGCTTGGATGAGATTGGCATTGATTAACATAGAACTTTTTGTCATCATCTAGATGCAAGAAAAGGATCTATTTACAAAAGTTTGAAAGTGTTCTGTTGTACGTACAGTGATTACGGAATAGGTTCTTACAAAAGATATGAAATATTACTGCCATCAGTGTATTTTCTCATCTTTACTAGTGTATAAATCTTACAACAGATGTTGTTTGCAGTTTTGTGGTATGACATTGGATTTTCCTTTTTATTCATTATAAGTACTATCTGTACTTACAATCATTAGTATTATGGTCATCCTGGATTTCAGATGTTATTGACCAATATCACTTAAAAGTAAGTTTTCAGAATAGGCAGCAGTGACAGAAATTACTTTTTGAACTTCGAGACAAGGAATAGAACAATGCTGTATAAACTGTTCTTATAAAATTATCAGAAAATTGATGAGTAACTCAAGAAATCACAAGAGCCAGTCAAACATTTCAAAATGTACGGATCACACCTTTTAATTTTCAGTAAATCTGTTTACATAAGTTTTAACTTTAAGATGAGAACATATTTGTGGTATTTTGAATTCAATTTTCATTCTAGACTTCTGATATACCTCTTTTCTCAGTTATCAGTAAAATCGTCCGCAGACATTTTTTTTATTTTATATTTTCTGATTGTTCAGTTAAAGAATGACACAGTGTAATTACTATGGTAATAATAATCACATGAGACTTAATCTTTGGTAATCTAACACATATTTTGTCTTTCAGATCCAATGGGGAGCATGTGGGTTGGTACTGGCAGCTAACACAGTAGTATTTTTGACAATTCTTGGCTACTTCTATGTATTCGACAATGACGACCTAGACTATTCAATGTGGTAAATAACTCAGTGTATGATGAAAACCTCACAGGATGAAATTGTCAACATTCAGCACACAGCTGGACATTGTTAAGTTTTTTCCAAGCCGTTTTCTCTACAAATCATTACAGACATGTGGTCCTGAGGATTGTATGGTCTCATGTGGTCAGTGGAATGTTGCCAGAGAAAAAAATAATCAAACGAGAATCTCTCTGACATCAGCAATATCAATTATGTATTTCTAGTATAAAAAGAGGCAAAAAGTTTTTATAACTTTGATAAAGTCAAGATCAGTTGATGTAGCAAACAGTGTTATAAGTTGAGCATTACTTTTACATGTAGTTCTTTAATAGTCAGTACTGTCAGCTCTTGTGAAAACAACTATTTCTGTAATGATATTTTGTGTTTTATCATTGTTTGAACTTTTGGATTTAAGATCGATATACTATCTGTCCTATGTTCTTACTGCATAGTAATATACTTAATGTGTTGTATATAATACATGTTTTGATGATATGGTATAGGTATTAATGGTATGGTACTTAGACTACTGTACAGTGGTGATATCTATTGTATAGAAACTGAGTAAATACAATGGTTGCGCAGTATTTATATTTACAGTTCTTGTATACAGTTTACCTCCCCTTGATTTGCTGTATTGATAGTACATATACTTACATATACTACAGGCATTCAGCTGACCCTTGACACTGGGGAATTTCAGAAGTCAAATCATATACCAAAGGTATCTGAATGGTAAAAACATGTGAAATAGACAAAACTCCAAGTGTCAAATCTCATTTTTGGAAATGAAAACATACTTTCAAGGCTCTACTGAATGCTCTTTAGTATATGTAATATTTTCCTTGACTGTGTAGTATGTACTCTACTGCTCACAACGACTGTATTTACAGGTACTTTCATGTGCTATAATTTCTGTACAGTGTTTGTCAACAGTCTGACTTATTTTAAGGTGAGGACTCCTTATAGTAGCTGGTGGCAACATCTTCTCCAAAAATCCTGCGGAAGGCTTGTCACATGTTATACAAAATAAATAGAGAAACGTGTCTTGCCCATGGACACAACTTTAACAGCACAGGATGATCCATGATCTCAGCTTCTGAGTAAACCGTCCTGAACATGTGATAAGGATTGAACAGCTCACCTGAGTAATGCATTTGTACGGTGTTAATGTTTACCATATAATACTTACAATGTATTATTAATTATACCATTAATTATGTTTACATTTACTGTGTGTTTAAAGCCTAGTATGTATCTGTTATGTGTATTTATGATGCAGTATCAATAGTAGAGTAAGTAATTATAGTTCTGTTTTTCAGATGTCTTATTTTCGCTCTATTAACAATATTGTATGTGTACTGCACATATTTGTTACCTGTCTAAGGCTAGAGCGTTAATATTGTTTAAGCTGAACTCAGATTTGTTTAAAAAAAAAAAAAAAATCTTTGTATTCAGAAATACCTAAAGTGCATAAATGATGAATTTCTTTTCAGATTACGTAGATGTATCATCAGTTGAGTGTTGTTTTGCTGACATGGACAGGATAAGACCTGTAAAATTGTTTAGAATGCAATGCTTGTGTCAGTGATTTGTCAGTGTAGTCTATAGAAGTATCTAATGACATTGTTCATACTGTTCTGTGGGTATATAGTTTTAGCAGGATTATATTATCGTACATGTGTTACCATTATGACATGAAGCAGTCATAATCTACATACTGATATATTTTGGTTATGTATTTTGGCACATATTACAGAAATGTCTTAGTGCTTTGATATTTACCTATATTACATTTGTGTAGTATGATGTAGCACATACCTGACACTAAGTAACAACACTAGTATGATTGTACTGAACTCTCAATTTTTTGTGAATATTGGTATTCAGGTAGTGCTACCACATCACTATTTTATCACAGTGACCTAGAAAACATCTTATCATTGTCTGTTATTGTGACAAAACACAGTGACGTGACTAAGGTGTTAAAAGTTTTCAAAACCTTTTTCTGATTTTTTCTGTCTTTTGAGCATGAACAGCAAAACATAATTCTGTGGAATAGACTTGTATAAGGTTTTATAAAGAAGAATTATGAAGAGATGTTCAGATGATTAGAAAAATAGTATGAATGTCACCTAAAGAAAATTTCAAATACCGGTAGCATAAGAAATGCTGAAATGCCAACTGTAAGTTGAAAGGAAATGATGTGTTAAATTCAGCAGTTTTAAAATCAAAATATTTTGTACATATTATATAGTCTGTAAGTTTGTGTCTTTGTACATCATGTGAAAATGTCCTTAAATGTCAAAGAACAAAAGTTTTTTATAAATTTATATTTATACTTACATACTGTATAATAGAATATAACTGTACATAGTGTCAATTCTGCCATCTTCGTATATGAGACACAAATTAATACCAGTGACAAATATACCATCCGTTGCTTTTTAAAGTACAGTTTACCACATACTCGATTCTCTAGGGAGTTATGATCATTTTCTCTTTCTACAACAATGAACATTTCCTGGCAAAATTGAAGACACAAGTGGAGCAATTTAACTGTTCAAGAACAGGTTTCAGGAAGAATTGGATGGGGGGGGGGGAACAGACTGGTGTACTTCTTTGAAGATTACAAAGAAGAAACACCCAAACGGCAGTACAACATACTGTTAGATGACCTCAAGATTTGTTCAATGTACATCAAAGGATCTTCTTGTCTTATCTATGAGGTGTTGCCTGTGGAATGTTAAATTTTGCCATGAAATATTGCAGGGATGCAGAAAACAATTGTGATTGTAACCCCTGGAGAAACAAGGATGAGTTTACAATGGAAATCTTTTTATGGTTAGCAGAATACTGATAACTTTTTTTCCAAAAAAAAGGCTTTGCAGTACTTCAGTAACATATTTTATTTGAAATGTGAGTCAGTGTTGTTGGTTCCGTTCTGTTGCCATCTAAAATATGGAGAAGAACTTTATCTTGCAATTTTTTTCAATTAATGGACATTGTTATTAATACTAGTGAAATCACAGCACAATATTGATAGGAAATCACCTCACAATATTAATACATTTTTATGTAGAACAAGTTATGCTAAAATTAATAATGCAATGTCTCACTATCAAAATATGACTGAGTGTATAAAGTGATATTGAGGCACAACTTCTGTATCACAGAGATATTAAAAATACATGAAATACAAGCAGGTTTTTTTTCTGAAGTGATTTGAAATCATTTTGATTATTTCATGATGCAATATTTTGGGGATCTAAAACAACAGTCAAGTTCATTGTACATAATGTAAATTTGTATTTATTTCGTGTGGTTCCATAACAACCAAGATATAGTACCTAAAATATTTCATGTTATACAATATCTATGTGCATTTTTGCACAACATGTATCAGATTCTAGTTATCAAATACTTTTTCTGAATTATTCTGGACCAGAATAATATAAAAACAAAAAGTAAATATAATAATTGAGACTAAGAAATACTTAGTTATTTGTGTGTATCTACATAACTGGTTACTTTTTCTTACTGTGTTTTTACCTTTTACACAAAGTAAGCATAGTTGTCTGTGTATTGTTGACTAGTTTTATTCTTGATCATCGGATTTTAGCAGCGGATTTGGGATTTTGGGGAGAAAAAAAAGGGAAGAGGGGGCAGAAACATTTTCCCACCGTTTCACATGTGAAATACCATCCTTCTTGAAAAAACACAAATTTCATAGATAGCTAAAATACCTGATTGAAACACTAGGTGTTGGGCTTATATTTAATAATAGTTCATGTCTAAATATACAATTTTAGGGTCAGAAAAGGGAAATATCCCTCTTCAATAGGGATGGTTTGTAAGTTCATCTCAAGAGGCATAATGTTAAAATCAGTGAAAATGATATATTTTTCTTAAGGCTTCTTTAAAGTCAGTGAAATATCATTATCTTTCTGGGTTTGTACCAATTTGTGGGACACACACGACTCTTCATCTTTAGATATGTTATCTAAACTTGTGCTTATTACAAGTGTAATCATATTCTCATAACATGTTAGTCTGTAGTGTTGTAAAACCTTTATACAATTCTAAGACAGTTATCAATGTAATGTCATTACATTTGAAAATAGATTCCCAAAAAAAAAAAAGGTTTTTTGGGAAACTGAAACTATAATTTATTATTTTGATCTTTACTGATTGATGTTCTACTGGATTAATTTTGGACTTACTGTTGACAAAGTTATATTCTGAGATAAACAATTAGCCACACATACCGGGGGTATGTATTCTTTAACTGTCAATAATAACATTTTCACTTTTTATATATGAAGAGAATCTAGAAGCACAAGAGTTGTGATCAGATTGATTGCCAGCAATTAAATACTTGTAGACACTGCAATAATCGTCATTTAATTATGAGTGCTAATACCCATCATCATGAAGGTGATGTGCTTAAGTTAGGTAATTATCTTTGAATCAGTGTTTGTATATTTAACCTCCCTGCTGGTATTTCTACAGAAGTTATAGGTTTGTACTTAATCTATGTGCCAGTCTGAAGGATATATCTTCTGTATTCTTTACCTTGCAATTGCCAAATTTTCCATGTGAGTACCTCAGTTCTCTGTTCCACTACAACAAGAGTTGTGACCCATTTTTATTTTCACAACAAGTCAGATATATTACTACCTGATTGTTAACCCATGAACACTCTTTAAAATGACAAGAAACTTATTTGTGTGCTATCAAATTACACACAGATCTTTTTTAATATATATGTTATAGGGGGAATGGGATGTGAGTGTATAGATGTGAATAGTTTAGGGGGAGTTGGGGTCTGAGAGAGGCATACAGAGAATGATTAGGTATATAGATTAAGAGAGTTGCTTTTAAATATAACAACTTTTGACCTGGTGTACCTTATGACTTCCTTGATGCACCTTTCAGTTTCGAGTCCTGTTTCAAAAGTTTTTGGCTTGTTGAGGTGTCCATTATACATGTGTATAACACTGAATGGCACTTTCAGGCAACCATGATTAACCAGATCTAGACAAGATCATTGCATGACCTATGACCTTACTAATTTCAAAACCCTTAACAAACCATTTTACTAGTAGTACTACCAATGTTATTGCTATTTCTTTGTTTTAAACATTAAATTTTATCACCACATCTGTATTAGATTCATCCTATTCTGTAGCATGATAGTGAATGCATTTGCCCTGTCAGTATTGTAATTGTGATGGTTCTTTTCCCCTTAAATACCAGTTTTGGGACGTATTGAAATGAAAAAGAAAATTCAAAATTTGGGTACTTGCAAAATTTTAGTGTTTCATTGAAGGAGATTTTTTTACAATTCAAATTTCCAGCTTTTAAACTATTGATTTATAGAAAATCCTCGAAAAACCAATTAATATAACACAATAATTGAAAATGCTGGCTTTAATCCAAACTAACTTTGATTGAATTTCGATTTGACCAAAAAAAGGTAGGAGTCTCCTGTCAAAATAGGAAGCATTAGCAAGTATGTCGATATATTTGAAATAATTTTGATATGAAATCTATGATCATTAATAATATGAGGGAAAGGAAAGATTTACTATAAATGATTTGCAGTAAATATATACTATAAATTGTACATACAGATCCAGTCAGAGTTAATTGGTCTCCTCAGGATAAGGTGACCTGCACATTTTATTTAACTGGATCTAGATATTATTTGTCATATTTTTGCCATTGTTATTTTGCTTTTGTTTTGTTACAAGCAAGACCTATGATGTACTTATTTATTTGTACATAATAAATGTCTTTCTAAACAAATGTTGTACTGTGTTGAATTTATAGTTAAATCTTACTTACGATAAATCTACTGAGTTTTCAAATTTGCAGTGGTATATAATGATTATGCTGTCACAAGTCGAGTTTTACTGGTGATGCATATCTATATATGATAAGTAAAATATTACATTGGGAAATAATAATTAACATACTTCAAACATCTCTAGTTTACACATACTTCCGATTGTGATGCTCGTTAGTATGGAACAGGTACAAACTATTGAATGAGCCTTGATGAAATATTTGTAATATTACTTTTATCATATTTTAAGTGATCGTTTAAATTTTCCTGGAAGTGATAAAGTCTACCTGAACAACAACAAAAATATATGGTTTGGTTTATCACCTCAAAAGGGTTTATCACTGGCTACATAATACAATTTGGCCTGTTAACCTATACTGTAGGCACCTGTGAAGTCCCTAGACCCCACACAGCAATAAATACTTTACAGTCAACAGTGGTGCTAAATAGATCTACAATACATCTCAATTTAAACATCCATAAGCATCTCAATTGGAGCATCCATAAGCTACACATATGTATGTTTGACTTCTTGTTCTTTGTTGAGCCACTATACTGACAAACTGTCAATTATTTCAGCTTTAATGATGATGCTAGTTAAATCACAGATCTCTGTCTAAAACTCATCTAAAGCCTTACAAATGTAAGGAAATGAAAATAAAATCACATTCCAAAATGGCTTTTACATTATTTATTCATTAAAGAACAAAAACTTCAGTCATTACATGTATATATATAATATATGAAAATTATTGAAACTGTCAAAGCTAAATCAAATATAAGAGCTTATTTTGTATGAAATTCGGAGTTCACATTTGATATCTGACAGTTCAAGAACCTCCTTAATGGTAGGATATTATCACTTAAAAGCAAGGTCATACTTTCTATATCATCACCAGCTAAACTTCATAGAAATATGAGAATCATTAATGCATCATTTTAAATAGATTCTCAATCAGGATTCGTAGATGATACTCACCAGTCTTACTGTATGATATCAATAGATTTTACTAATCTAGGTGATTTCTCTTCAAGTAAAAACTGAGAGTACAATGTGTGACCATGTTATGCAATATAGGTAGAGAGGTGAATACGATAGTGCAATATCACTTCGTAGCAAAAGCTGATCTAAGCAAAAAGTTTGTTTTTAAATACCTTATAAGCACAAATGTTTATTTGTACAAGTCACTTTTAAGTTTTATAGCTTTATAGAGATAATGTAATTAGTGTCAAAATTCCTTGAAAACAAATTTTTTTGAGAAATTAACCTTTTTTAATTTGACCTAGAAAAATAGCTCATTTTGCTTTTCTTCATACAATAAAAAAGAAATTTTACTATAAACAAAATATAAATAAATTCATTCTGTAAAGTACATTACTAAAAGTAAACAACAAAGATAATTTTTCAGTACAGCCCACCATGATCCATTCTTGAGAAATCAAAACCCATTCACAAAGTCACAAGTTATGAGGATACTTCCATGTCAGCCATGTTTAGCAGTCTGTAAGCAATATCCCGTTGTAGAGGTCTTTGTAAGGGATGAGCTAACAGCTGTGCCATTTGATCATATAACTTTGTTGGATTTCTAGCGGCTTCAAAGATATAGCTCAGTCCTTTTTCATCCAAGTCACAAATACAGTCAAATATTTCCTGAAAAGTGATGAAAAATTAATTTATAATCTTAATATAGTCTTAAATAAATTCAAAACATAATAGATATGAAGTGTATCATTTAAGTTACATTTCATAAGATAATACAGCATAACAGTTTGAATAGTTTTAACATATCCAGAGCTTGCCACCTTCAGACAAGTTTGGTATCCAAAATAAGTAAAAGACCATATCTTGACAGTGTCTAAAGTCACAATACCTAGTTTCATTATCAGATATTCTGGATGTCAATGTAAATACAAGAAGTTATTTATGTAAGGAAATACTACTGAAAAATTTAGACACCATCCAAATCACATCCTTAACTTTGTTATGATTATGGGCCTTGCACTTCAAACTCATCAATGCCTTTGTGTCACTGCAAATTAAGTCTTCACTTACCTCACATTTGTTGTCTTCAGAGGGAGGCTCATGAACATACAGGGCATCAACAAAAAAATATGGAGAAGAATCTAGTAACCGGAAGGTCTGAAACCAGGAAAAGTTTTTAAGTATTTCATAATTAGTTTTTGTGTAGCTAATACTTAAGCTTGGTAAAACATGTTCAATTTTTCTATCTTGGAAGTCTGAAACAAAAAATCAACTATTACCTCATTTTGGGCCATTGTATCATCTGTAATCACTAAATGCACTTAAGTTACTAGAGTAATGAAATTGATTCGAGATCTGACATAATGAGGGTGCATCAGACATATATGAGTCGCACGATATGCCCTTTCCACTGAACAGGATATTGGAATCAAAAACAAATTTTCTGGCTTTGACTAGTTTCTTAACAATACACCTGTTAAAATATGTATCAGGATATGCATTCAACATGTTACCCAAACACAAGAGATGCGGTCACTGTGTGAATGACTTGAGTAAATCTGGATTGAGCCTACTGAAATATCGTGAAAATATTCAAGCAATATCAACTCTCGTCTTAAATACAGGTCTCTGACAGAATGGAAAGGATGTGATTGATACATAATTGAACACTGTGACTGCACTAAGTACCTCTTTGTCAGACATGTTGATGGTTCCTTGAGATCGTCCCAGTAGCAGCATGGTTCTCACAATGTATGGGGGTGGCAGTATAGTAGGATCACCGGACACTTGTGGCAACTCTACTCGTGAATTTCTGAGAAAAATAATACAAAAACAAATAATGAACGTGTGGGAAAATCCTAATTTTAAATCTCAGTGAAATGTAAGTCCAAAAACTGTCCTGACATTGGCAACTGCTGCAAATGGATGTCATAATGGAGTTTGTTTTGCAATAAACCTACATGCAAGTAATTAAAAAATTAAGTGAAAATCTGACCTGCAATCAGAGGCTGTATTTAAATAATCTGTGTCTATGCAAATGCCATTGACAGAGTTGGAGTCAGAGAATTCATCACAAGAAGAGGAGAGTTTTTGCCATACTCATTTTCCAAATCTAGTTGTAGGAGAAAGACAACATGGAGGAGGAGATTCTAAAAAATGTATACTACTACTACCCATCTTCAGCTCATACTGATTTCCATGTCATTTGCCTAAACAGGTACCACTTAACAATTAGATTTTTTCATTTGAAAATGTGTATCTATCATTCTTTTTGCTTGACTTCCCTTGTTAAATGATAGTTACATTCATGAAAATGCATTAAAAATTCTTTATTCATGGTTTATACAGGTGGCAAAATGTATGAAATAGCAAATAGTGGCCGAGAGGTATTGTATATTTTTGCCATGTAAATACTCATTATTGAAATACACATGTCCTCTGATAAAGCCTCAAAGTCAAAATTTACTTACATGATATCAAATATGGACCCAATATCTAGTGTCTCACACTGACTGGTGTCCTCAAGGTCATCCAGCAAATTTATTATCTCCCTTGGATTGGAGCTGAAGTCTCGAACCTGTCAAAATATAAAGGAGATCAAATCTACTTAGTAATCATATTTAACTACACGGTCTTTTACCATCATCCATGTTTTATATTGATATTAATGTCTATTTAACTAAGTTTTGAATCTAATGTTAAGTGGGCGTGGGGATATTTCTTTGTGGTTTGCTCTTTATTCATAACTTCTAAGTTGATATGAATTATAGACATCAATCTAGGATATTTGCTTACTGTTAAAGTAATTGCTTGTTGCCTTTTTTTATTTTTTACATATATATAACCTATCCCAATTTTTCCGATACTCCATATGTTGTTCTGATATTACAAAAGTACCATGTACCACGTAGCAGATATGTATCCAATATGTCAGTCAATGTCTCATTCTTGTATACTTACCCATACAGCATTTTCCTGTAGGATGACTAAAGCATATTGATGTTTTTTGTTAATTCTGCTCTTACTTTGCAAGAATAATCTCAATGCTCTTTTTATCAACTTCAATGGAGTCCATTTATCTCTAAAATAAAGATAAATAAGTAAATAAAATGCCTTAAAAGTGGGATGTGATACATCATAAATCAAATTGAATCTTTTCCTAAGATCATCATCAATGACTACAGCCAGTAGAGAACTTCAAACTCAAAGATAGGTGCCTATTTACTTTTCATGTCATTTATCTTCCCTGAGAAAATTCATTATTATGAATTAATTCTTACCCATAATAAATAAAACAAGATAATTTGGCAAATCAAAGCCATCAACCAAGTGTATGCCTAGAATGCACAGATGATGAATTCAAGGTCAAAATGTAGGTCAGAGTGACATACTTTTCATAAACACACCACCTCACCTAGGTGAGCCATGCCACATGTATACAGTTCCAGTTGCCAATAGTGTAGGATATAGAGCCCAAACAAGATAAAGTGCAGATGAAATTAAAAATTCCCCCAACTCTAGTATAAGTTCTCTGTGAGGTTAATTAAAGTGTAGTAAATATATGTACTATGTAGAAACCAATATTATTATTTAACAAAGTGTCAACTTTATATTTGCATTTTAAACAAAAGAAGCAGATAATTTTTACTAGGTATTTGTATTTTTCATTGTTTTCAAGTGATCCTTGATAGTTATATTAGTAATTTCAATTTCAGATAGAGTGATGCCATCTTATTATACAGCAATACAAGGTATTACAAATTGTATGGATATGCTTACCCTGATCTAGACCTAAAGGTCACTTTATCCATTTCAGCACTCAAATCCAGGCATATTATCTAAGGACAAAAATCAAATTTACGAAATAACAAATCATATGTACAAGGAAAACTATTAAATTACTTTCATATTAAAACATTTGATATTCTATACTTAACCAGCAAAGTTATGAAGAATCCTCCCATTACCTGGTTCAACCCTGACCTGTCCATAGGAGGTAAATATTATCATTAATTCTTATATATAATTACCAGTTCTAATAAGTAAACAATCCTATAACCATTCTGACATGGAAAGTAAAGTAAGGCAGCTGCCAAAACTACTTAAATATGTAACAGTATGAAAGGCTTAACAAACTCATACTACTCTCCAATTGTTGATAAATTCGAATTCACAGTTTTAGCATGTAAAACTAATAATAAAAAGAGGTACCAATATCAATGAAATATACTCTATAAAAAAAAATTGTACGAGGTCTTAAAAATTTCAAGAAATTCTCAAATTTATGAAAGTGTGTCAGCACCTATTAACTATCCAAATTAGAAATAGGGAAGCAATTTTAAGCAGCAAAACTAATGGTATCTTCAATATAATCAAGTTTTAACAATACCTTAAAAGGGATATCATGGTAAAGACATTGTGTTATTGATTGTACATGTATTTTATAATTTAGTTACATTTCTATGCTATACCAATATTCAGTCAATATCCAATGTCCAGCTTGACTACTCCTTCAGAAAACCCCTCTCAAATTTAGCACTGATAACGTTATGTAACAGTTTTAAAAACAAGGCAGTTCATTTTGTAAATACAAATACACAATGGTGGGCAGAAATAATGGTAGTGACATAGTAAGTCATTCTGTTTTTTCAGCACGAGATTTCGATATGGGTGTGGCAAATGTTTCAAGTCAATTCAGAATTATAAAATTAGTGACATTAATCGCCAACATTATTATGACTGATTCAGACAGGAAGCTTTTTTTTTAACAGCCACAGTGTTTTGTACATATTCATTATCATATATGATGCAAAAATTAACATATCCAGGCTGGTGATCAACAGATAAGGATTTCCTTTTTATTATCATTAATGAACCTCTTTATGTGCATATTTCAATGAAAATCAATTGCTGTGTTCATAAGGTGGCATACTTGATATATATGCAATAGATAAATAAGTTAGAAATTTCACCGTGATGTTGCTTTTAATAATAATAATGCCTATTGGTCTATGCTCTGCAGTATATACATACTGGTCTATACATTAAAAGATAATGTAAATTACAATTGAAAAGCTAGCAGACCAGACAAGACTCCACTGTAAGAAAAATGACTCCTGTTTATTCTTATGATTGTAAATTTGGAAATATCAAATGGAATTTTTCTTTGTTCCTCACTGGACTTTTGTTTTATTTTTTTAAGGAAAGACCAAGTTGACTTTATTTAACTCTACAAGAATTTAGACTCTTACAATTTTCTCCGGGCAGTTGACTCTGGGACATGTCAGTTCGAGTAAATCATCCTGACTAGAATCTGAATCCTTGTTGTCCTGATTAGTCTGCAGATCTAGTAAAGGTTGATTCTGCTGTTCTGATGATGATTCTGAATTACCTCCCTTGTGTTGTGTTTTGGTAGGATATGAAAGCAGTGCATCGTTTTGAATATCGTCTGCTAAGAGTGGGTTTTCTGTTATATCATATTCTTGAAATGGAGTTCGCGATGAACAGTCTGTGTTTTCAGAAGGGCTACCTGTCTCCATTGTAGACAGTACAAGTGCCAGCCATATAAATCACCTAGCCGGTTTCCTCTTCTGAGCGGCCTCTTTCCTCCATCATTTCTTTTTGTATTATACTCTCTACATTGTTTATTATTTATCATGTAACTATATTTGGTAACAATTCAATCGATCTTAATATTCAAACTTATTATATAATCTATAATTAGTGTATTTTTGTTTCATTCTTATTCAATGATGTGATCAATGACTAAGTACGTTTTGTTCGAGATTAATAATTGAGGCAAGTGTCATGGCCGCGACCCAGTAATAGATTGGAAGAGAAAAAGGACGGGATATATAATAGAGGTTAATTTGAGACATGTTTCGCTTTTAAACTACGTCCGCTGTTATAAAATCAAAGTATACTAAACTTTATCACTTTTAGACTTAAACAGGAAGGTGATGCTTCGATGAAATTATATAAGTCGTTCTGTCACTTTTGGAGCCTGAATATGGTTTCATGCAAGCACTGCGTGTAATCATAATTCATTTAATTGTAGTGTAATGATACTTAAACTATTGTCAGTTTGATAAACATAGTAAAAAGGTATTCAGTTTTAATAGACAATAGTAAATCGGATCAAATTCCCTGAATGATAAGACTAGGTATATATTACTATATTCTCTGACATACCTGTTAGCAATTAAAATGATTTGAGCGGAGTTACAGGTATAACGGTCGTAACATATGCCTATATTGAAGGTAAAATGTTTAAGATTGTAGTTCAATGATCGTGTTTTGTGGTATAATTGGATAAAATGAAATGAAATACTTACCATATAGATGACAATTGATTCAATTAACAGACATCAGTTGGATGCAATTTGTTTAGCATCTACAGCTGGCCCTAGATGTCACTGTGTGTGAATCTTGTAAGGCCTCATAATCTACAGATTCCCTTTATAATGGATGTCCAATTGTTCCTTTCATTTTTTTTTTATTTCCATTTTCTTGTTCTTGCTTTGCTTAAAACTATTACAAAAAAGAAGATTGCAAGAACAATGTGATGAGATGTATACTACTAGTAAATGTATGTCTTTAGAATTGCTAAAAAAAGACAGATCAAATGAAATAATTTCTTTGCGTCTACTTGTATTCTTTTTGTTATATTTACAGGAGATTTGCTCCTGCAGGACTGACAAGGGGCTATGAATAATCCAGACCTTGAGAACAACAACAATAATGATGGGCGGCGTAACAACAATCAGGGACGAGGACCACAGAATCCATTATTAAATGTGCGTGACAGGCTGTTTCATGCCCTCTTCTACAGAATAGCACTGACTTATGCCAGAACTTTCCCCAAACCTGTCAGAAGAATTTTGGAATTTGCTGTACTTTTGAAGGTAATTTAGTTAACTTTGAATTATACAGTGTAGTCATTGGTGTCAAGAAAAGTTTAAGCACCTGCTCCTTCTTGAACTGAAAAATAAGAATTGAAAGTGTAAATTCAGAGTTTTTGTGAAAAATGTAAAATTTATCAAATATTATGTAGAAATATATGTAGAATTGTAAATGGAACTGAGAGAAAGGATAAATGCTGGTGCCTTTAAATATTGTTTTTTGTCTTCTTTCATCAGCATAATAAGGTGATTTTATTTTGTTCTTTTGATGCAGATTTGTAAAAGAATATTTCCACTGTAAAGTTGCATTCTCGTTTCTTTGAAAAATAAAATTATCAAATATTCTAGGATTCCATCAAAAGAATTTTTCCAGAGGATGCTTTCTGATATCGGTTTTTCAGTTTGATTTTGATTACATGCTATTTGAACTGGTAACTGCGTAACTTTGATATAAATAGTTTATGTATAGGTATTAAAATATCTTTGTGAACGTTGTGTTAATTGAGTCAGTTTCTCAGTTTGAATTTTTGTCTTTTGAACAGGCTTTATGTGTTCTTGCCATCTTGGCATACATCCATATTGTGTTTGCACGAACACCTATCAACTGTCTATCAAGCATTCAGAAGACTTGGCCTAGACATGGAATCCTGCGTGTTGAGATTGTACAAAATGCGTCGGAGAACTACAGCTTAATCAACTCTTATGAAAAAGAGTACTCTGATTTCAGTTTACATTTGTTCAATGATCATGCACAGGAAGAACAAGAACTGGAGGAGGATGAAATTGATGATTCAAAAACTGAAGATATCTACCCCAGTAATGGGCAGTTTATCAATTCTTCTATATTAGAAGGAGGAAATGAGTCTATATTAGATGTCATTGATACAGGAGAGGTGAAGAGGGAGTCACTGCCTGTAGAGGATCCTGGTGGAAATGTGGAAAGTGATGTTGAAACCGAGACAGAAAGTCCTGACACGGAAGAACATGAGGGAAATGTGACAAAGATTAGCCAGAATAGCAATACTGTTACAGACACTGGCTATGAAGCGTTTACTGATTCCTACCCCTTGTCAGAAATAGAAATGTTGGCTAAAGTGGGTAAGGAATGTTATATGATTTTTTATTTTAATTTAATTCTTCATTTTCTTGACAAAATTGTGGCAAAGTCTTTATTTACGACATGTTTGGACTTCAAAGTGAATGATTTTGATAGCAAGCAGGGGTTGAAAAAATATTCTTTTCTAGACTGGCAGCCTTATATACAAATACTGTATTAATGAAAGGTTTTTGGGTCATTTGACCCAAAGGGTCACGATGACCTGTAGCCATCATGCTTTGTCCGTCGTCATCTGCCGTCTGCCAAGTGCTGTCCTTCTCAAGCTCCACCATTGCGATTGAGCTCAAACTTGCATGAAATGATTCTGAGATGGTCCTGACCAAGTGTTGTTATTTTTTGGGTATGTCTGAAATCCAAGATGGCTGCCATCTTGAAAAACATATTTTAAACTTCTCCAGTTCCACTGGTACCATTGAGCTAAAAATTGGTGGGATTGTTAAGGAAAGGTAGCCAACAAAGTGTTGTTATTTTTTAACTTTGTCAAAACTTCAATAGGACAGCCAGGGAGGCCATTTGTAACATAATTGCGAAATCATGGTTTCCTGTGCAACACCCTATTTCATATATGTCTGAAATCCAAGATGGCCACCATCTTGAAAAACGTTTTTTAAACTTCTTCTCCAGTTCCTTTGGTGCCATGGTTTTCCTGTGCAACACCAATTTCAAACTTCTTCTCAGGTTTCGCCAGTTTGATTGAGCTCCAACTTTACAGTAAAGAAAAAGATAACATTTGTAACAGTTACTCCTCACCAAAACTACCATCGGCATCATGGAAAACAGCTTCTTAGTAAGATTTCATTAAAAGTAGAAAAAGTAACCCTTCTCCCTGCTGAAAGTTTTTGTAGTCAGATGACTATTAAGGCCTATGGGCCTCTTGATTTTATTTTTCACTATTTGTTTGGTACTTTTGTTGGAGCTTATCGTCACCATTTACATTATGAAGGTTCCTTTGCAGTATGGCCAGAAGAGAAATACATTGTGGAATATGCACTGGAGTATGGATTCTTGAGGCTTTCCCCCAAAACAAGACAGAGACTGAATATAACAGTTATGCTGGTTACATTGGGTTAGTAAAATATCTTTGTATACCTTAGATAAATGCTTTACTTAAACCATGTAAAAACAATGAGATGTATTATTTATAAAATATAGAATACTTTTACTTTTATCTGTCAGCATATATCACCAACAGTGTATGAAAAGTGACAAGATAACAAATATACAAATACAACCCCCACCTCCCAACCCCTCTAATTAAGTTTATATGTATATTTCTACCTCTTTTTCATGAGTAGTTGTATGTATTTACAAACAAGGTGTATTTATATCTGTTTATAACTGGGGTTGCTTCATAACAGAAGCATGCACTTATGGATTCAGTTGTTAAAGAAAGATAATTTTTACAGATCCAATTAAGGATGAATGTTTTGGTGACAGCATCAGTCGGTTTTTACTAGACGAGTTCCTAGGATATGATGACATATTGATGTCAAGTATAAAACAGTTGGCAGAGCATGAAGACAACAAAGGTGATTATCATAATTTTGTCTGTTGGTTTAGCAGGGCTGTAATATTATATATCTCTTTTTTGTAATAATCATGAGAATTTACAACAAATTATCTGTTTTGTAAGATTTGCTCTTATGTTAAATTTAAACATTGTGCCATGAATTTTTCTTTGAAAGTGAATAAGATGCATTTGATGGTAGAACTGTATTTACAATTTACATGTTCTCATCTTATATAAGTTACTGAGTATAAGACAATGCTGCCAATTAGGTTTTAATCTATAATTAGTATTATTGATGTTCATTGTTCAGAAAGCTGTAAATGACTAAATTTTCACTAATAGGTTACCTTCGGAATGTTGTGACCGGTGAACACTATCGTTTCGTCAGTATGTGGATGGCCAGGAGCTCATACCTGGCTGCAGCCTTCATTATGTTAGTCTTTGTAAGTACAATTGATTTATATCTGTGATTCATAATGTTTGAAGTTAGTCATATGAAGAGTTGATACAGGGACAACTGGGCAGTTTCAATGGTCTTTGGTTCAAAAACTAGACCGACTTTCATTATGAAATGACATTATATTTATGCCTTATTTCAATAATTTGTAGTTTATTGAAGATATCTTACCATGTTGATCAATTTTCTTACAATCTAAATACAAATTCCCTTTCACAAATTGACAAAAAATGTAAATGTATGTTTGAAAGTATATTCGAGTGTGCAAATTAATGTTTAGAATCATACCTGGAAGTCTTTTGATGTTTCATATCTTTCTGTTTGTTCCAGACATTATCAGTTTCAACTCTACTGAGATATTCTCATCATCAGATTTTCATTTTCATAGGTGAGTAAAAAACTTTCATTAATGAGCTGAATAGATACCAGAGGTGTGTATACTTTATTGGTCCTCCACCTGGAACCTATGTTGTGTCTTGCCGTCCTTCCATACTTCCGTATTTCTGTTCCTCTGTTCTTCCGTCCATCCTTCTGGAATCTTGCCGGACTATATTTCCTACACTTCTTGTAACTGAAACTTCATACTTGGGGTATGAGATTTCCTAGCTGAGGTGGTGTGTCATGTATCAATAGTAGATCACTGACGTACATTTTGACCTTTGAACTATATCAAAGCAAATTTTGTCAGGACTCTAAACTTCTAAGTCATTAAAACATCTTACTTTGGGCAAGGGTTCTAAGTGTTTTTTTAACATATGATTTAATATTTGGAGAGTGTTTAGCCAAAGTACCATCGTTTCATTCAAAATATGAGACATTGCATTATGAAAATAAATGGTGTAGAAAAATGTTTATATCCAACCAAGAAAGTGGTGAAAAATATGGTCACTCATTGATTGTAACCTGGACTGCTTTTATTGTTAAACTTCTTCTGTTGATCTCTATGTATACTTTCATTACTATTTAGTCTCATATTTACATTAGTATTTAACAGAAAATTTAAATAACAAGTATCAATTTTGTATTTTTCAGTTGATTTATTACAAATGCTGGAGATGAATGTTACTGTTGCGTTCCCTGCTGCTCCTCTTTTAACTGTTATACTAGCACTTGTTGGTAAGTTTAAACTCATATAACACTGTGATTCAGTCTTGATGAAAAAAGAAAAACGGCTTTCATTCAGGATGCATTATATGAATCTTGGTTTTTTTCTGTGCTTGTTTTCAGGGTAAAAACTTCTGATTTTAGAAACTGCTATATGATCTTTATGACTTTTCAAAATTTACTTGAGTTAGTTTTAAGTCCTGTAGAAAAACAACAAAAACAGTGCTGACATTTTGACAGGAAATTTCATTCAACCCAAATTTGATGAAACTCTCGCTTCACTGAAAAGTCAAATTTTGATCGTTTTCTGTAAAGTCTGGTTGTCTGGTTCATTTCATTCCCAACTAAATTTATAGTCACTTTGAAATATGTTTTGATATATCATAGAGTGGCTTTCCTCTCCTCTATATGATTATATCTATCAAGCAGAAATAGATGAAATGAGATAGGAGAGACTTGTAGTTACTTATAGTTCCTTTTTTAAAGGGGAGGGAGGGGTTGGTGGTCCTTGTTTTTTTTGTGAGTACTCAAAACATTTTTCTTCAAAATTCCTGAAGATATACTTAATATGTACCGGTAAGCATTCATCAATTCACAGACATCATTATCTTTTAACTTTAATGGTATTTTTTTCTATGCTTTCTAACAGGTATGGAGGCCATTATGTCTGAGTTTTTTAATGATACAACTACTGCATTCTATATCATCCTAATTGTATGGATAGCTGATCAGTATGATGCTATATGCTGTCACACAGACATCAGTAAACGGCACTGGTTAAGGTAAACACTTCAGTTTAAACCCCTGTATATTCACTGTAGTATTGGGGAAGGAAACCTATGTCAAGTCCATGTGTGTCAATATAAATACAATATCTATGATGTAAGTGCACTGAATGGCACTAGGAGTTTGGGATTCGTGCCAAGTCTCTATGGTTCAATGTAAGTACAATATTTATATGGTTAAGGATGAATACTGAGCAAGGTTGGGGATATGTGGATCAATGTAATCTCAATGTAGAGTAACATTATGTGAAGAGGTTGAAATGTGACCTGTAAAGAACTTGAGCTCTTTAAAAATATCTACGTATCTTACTTTTCAGATTTTTTTACCTTTACCATTTTGCATTCTACGCCTACCATTATCGCTTTAATGGGCAGTACAGTGGCTTAGCACTGTTTACCTCATGGCTGTTTATACAGGTAAGTCAAACAGTTCTCATTCACTGTTACCTGTTACCTATCCACTTTGTGCCTTGTGGCATATAAGGCCTTGACAGATCCTTTTCATCTCTCCCTGTCTGCTGCCACTGTTCATACTTCATTCCAAGATCTCTAGTCTGCTTCACCTCACTCTTTCTTCTCCATATCATTTTGAGTTGTCCTCTTTTCCATTTTCCTTATGGAGCCCATGTTAATGCAAATTCCAGTCTCACATCTGTATAATAAAACTTGTATTACTAATGCTTTGTATAGCCTCAGTTTTGTTCCCCTCAAGATGTTATTTGATTTCCAAATATGTTTCAGTCATATATAAACACCTCTAGCTTTTGATAGTCTGTTCTTGGTGTCTTTCATACCACTACCTTCTTTACACACTGTTGATCCTAGGTATGTTAAATGTTCCGCTTTCTCTATATCTTAACCTCTTACCTTGATGGTGTCCTGATTTCTTGCATTTATCCTCATCACTTTCATTTTATTGATGTTGATCTTGAGTCCTACCCTACTGGCTTCTTTATCTAGTCTTGATGTTTTATCTTGTATCTGTTCTTTGGTTTAGAAGAGTAGTGAAATATCTTCTGCAAAATCTTGATCGTCCATTTTTGTTAATTACCATGTTATGCCATTCTTACTACTTCCAACTGCTCTTCACATCACCCAATTCAAAACAACTAAAAATACAAACCTGGACATATTACATCCTTGTTTCACTCCTGTCTTGATGTTGAATCACTCATTCATTTCTCCTTGGTGTTGCATAGCACACTGGAAATTAGCATGAAATAATTTTAATATCCTTATAATTTTGTCTGGTATTCCATATTTCCTCATGATGATCCATTAGCTTTCACAGTGGATGGAATCAAAAGCCTTTTCAGAGTCTATGAAGTGAAGATATAATGTTGCCTGCCACTCATTTACTTGCTTTTTGATGTTTAGAAGTATAAAGACTTGCTCTGTCGCACCCCTTCCTTTCCTATATTCTGCTTGTTCTTTCCTCAGTCTTCTATCAATTTCCTCTTTTACGCGATTATTGACAATCCTTCCAAATGGTTTTCCAACTACAGAAAGCAACATGATTCCTTGAGATTTCTCTTCTTTACTAATTTAAAGATGAGGTCTTTCCTCCAGCTAACTCATTCACTATAAAAGCATATATTACATGGAAATTAGATTTAGGTTTATCAAAGTCAACCCAGTGATAATCTATAGAATTGTAACTTGTCAACTATATGTCCCTCACTGTTGGCAGTAGCAATTTTTAAAATTTTATTTATCCATGTAGCTTTCTTAGGATAAAGATAAAGTTTTAACTGTTTATGGTCAAATTTTATACTATTTAACCAAATGGTAAACTAGTAATTGTTGTTTATTCTGTGGTTGCCATTTCTAGCAGGTGAATATTATGTAAGGGAAACCATTGATGGATTTCCTTCCAAATTAGAATTTGAAATGATGACTGGATCAGTGTTGAATTAAGGAATTTATGTTGCAGCACTCCATGATCTACTTTTTCCACCACTATGAACTGCCAGCCATTCTTCAGCAAGCACGTATACAGCAAATTGTTAACCAGAATCAGCAACAAACTAATGCCGACCCTGTTCCTAACGTCCATCCGACGGGGGAGCAGGTCACTCCTAATGGACAGACGCCAGGGGCCAATGTGGATGTCCCTCAACCATCTGAACTCCCTACAGGGTCTAACAACGCTACAGGTGCAATGTATCAATCAGCCAATCAGACGCCAGGTCAAGAGATTAGTAACAACCTTTCAGATATGTCAGCAGTTCATCCATCATCTGCTGGCAGCCAGTCAGAGGAAAGAATTGATTCAAATAATTCAGATGATACGGGTCAAGTTTATGCAAGCAACAATTTAGAAAATAATGAAATGATTGATATAAGTAATGATCTAAATAACAGAACTTTGGACAGAAATAGTCCGTCCACCTTATCAGGTGATATAACTGGTGCTTCTAGTAGTGTTCAAACAAATGACACAGGTGGTCATATAACAAATGAAAAATCAGGGGAGACTACCCATTCTGTATCCACTAGATCAGAGGGAGATAACCCACCTTCATCCCAACAACATTGTGATAATGCAAAAAGTGGACTTCCTGCATCAAATATAGGACACATTGATTCTAATGTAGAGTCTCAAAAAATTGATTCAAACCATTCTGCTATGGAAGGAGCTGCTACAGGTTGAACAAGATTATAGTTTATTGTGTTAATGCTTCATTCTGTGAAACTTTGATTCATGCTTCTGTGGTTTCATTCATCTAAGATGCCTATTTATATGGGGGGTGTAATAGTCTTTCCATGTTTTTTAAGACAGCAGGGCTGTTGTATTATCTAGGATTTTTGTTTAATTTGTTGAAGGAGAAATGTTCATGTATTTGCCAAAGATTCCACATGTATGATGTTTTTGAGAGTGAGTGAAGGCATTGTGAATGAATGTAATTGATATTGTGCAGTATTTAAATAAGATAGAATTTTGAAATCTTATTGAATTGAATCTAGATTGAAGAAAGTAAAAGCTTCAACAGTATGTAATGATTTTAGCTGTAACCTTATAAATATAATTTGTTTGGATTTTATTTTGAATTCAAAAAGTCCTTAAAATATACCGGGTATATTGTTTGTTTACATGAAGTTGATCTACAATTACAATAAGCAAGTTTTTAAAATCTTATTAAGAACAAATTGAATGAAAAAAAAAATAAAAAATTCATTAATATGAACATAAGGTAAAAGAATACATTAATTATAATTTAAGTCATGAAGGCAAGAGAAGTTGAAAGTAAATATAGAAGATAGGTTTATTGATCCATTTTTAAGGAAGTCTGAGCATTCCATATTAAGATGCAGGCAAGAAAAATACCTTATATACTCCATGTGTGAATTATACTAATTGTTGAGTCAACATGGCTTTACCATACATTGTCCAATGTTTAAGTTAACATCAGCAAGTAAACCTTAAAAAAACCATTTGTTTAAAATATACTAGGTATATATGAAAATAATTGTTCTTTCTATTTTTTTCATATGCTATTTTTCTAATTAAGAATTTCCAGCAAAGTATAACATGTCAAATTTACTGGTATGGAATTCTTTGGTAAGAGGGCATGTGTCACAGAGGTAGCTTATATCCTTAACATAGGATGAACTCTGGACATAAAAGTTCAGTTCCTGGTCCTTTCTTGTTCTATATATTGATTTGTTCAGCATTCTGGTCAAAAAGTTCATCTGAAAACTCAAATTAGTTCTCTAAGATTCAACTTCTGTAGTGTTACATTGATGTTGAAATCTCATTATCCATAGAGAATTTCAATCGTTTCTTTTACTTAACTTTTTATCATTCTTAAAGTTTCTCTTGCCAACAGTAAGATTGTTGTTCAAATGTGTTTAAATGTCATTCTATATGTTAAACAAATCTGTTACTGATAAGAATATGTATATACATTGTATGTGATTCAAGTGCTAATGATATGTACCTGGTATTGTGTTGTTATGCAAATCAATGAATTGATAAGAATGTGTGTATATGTTTGAAAATCAGAATGTTATGTGTGAAGGCATTTGGAAGTCAGAATTTGATATGTGTAAGTGTTTGGAAGTCAAAATGTAATGTGTGAAGGTGTTTGGAATTCTAGTGTAATGTATGTATGTGTTTGGAAGTCACAATGTATTGTGTGTATGTGTTTGGAAGTCAGAATTTAATGTGTCTTGGTGTTTGGAAGTAAGAATGTAATATGTGTAAGTGTTTGGAAGTAAGAATTTAATGTATATAGGTGTTTGGAAGTCAAAATTTAATATATGTTTTTGTTTGGAAGTCAGAATTTATGTATGTATGTGTTTGTAAGTCAGAATTTGATGTGTGTCAGTGTTTGGAAGTCAGAATTTAATGTGTGTCAGTGTTTGGAATTCAGAATTTAATGTGTGTCAGTGTTTGGAAGTCAGAATTTAATGTGTGTCAGTGTTTGGAAGTCAGAATTTAATGTGTATAACTATGTGTTCTCAAATCAGAATGTAAATAATGACCATTTACTATTAATTTATAAACAGATACATTAGGGCCTAGTTCTGTCATCAATTAAAGTAAGTGTAGGCTTACTTGTGTGAGATCGAGCAGACAGTGGTAGAGAAGGTAAGAGAAACAAAAGAAATACAATATGATGGTCAGAACAACTTCAACTCCTTACCTTTTATTTGTACAGTCAGCTTCTAAAGGTACCAGCACAACCATAATAGGTGGTGATTTGTTATCTAGATCATATCAGTTGATGACTGGACTAAACTTTGTCGGACACAGACATCTCTACAGAGCGTTATAGATTTAGTGGAAGCTAATAATATGTATAAAAGATGCATTGCTATGTTATCTGTAAAGGAGATGGATAAGTGCTGTTCTGATTTATATTATTATATAGGATTAGTGAACGAAACTACAAACCAGGGTCTGTTTATTAATGTTAACTAGTAGTTTGTTGGCACTTTACATGCATCATTTCAGGAATAAAACAAGATCGACTTGCAACTGTAGATACAGATTGTATAAGGATCAGTGGAAGCTGGTTAGAAAGTATAATTTCAATAGCTCCATCCTTCATAAATAAACAAAACCTGGTCCTACTGGTCAAGCTGTAGCTGAAATAATCTCTCTAACTACACCAAACACGTGTAAAATGAAGTTCCCTACCTACCATTCATTTCTTAAAACAAGGTTACTAAGCCTCCCACCCATATTATATACAGATTAGCTTGGATTATGGTTGTAACTAACTAGTTGCTGTAACTGAGCCTGTTTGTTTATAGAGGTTGATCCTTACATTCCTGTTGGATGACTTATAAGGCAGTCCTTAAGCAACAATTCAACATGTTGTGATCATAATCAAATTACTCATCATTTGCTTGCTTGAAATGAAACTAGTTTTGCCATCAGCTAATTGTCATTTACAGCTGTATTTCGAAGGTAAAAAATATTCCTATATTTTATAGATTTTCAGGATTAAATTTTTGGATGGCACGTGTTTGCTGTTTTGTTTAAAACAAATGTTTTTCATCAATCATGCACTCTGCGATCTTACCAAACATAATGAGGTAGCCAAGTCATATTGTATTGGTCCTATTCAAGACTGGTCACAGAAGTTGAAATAGCTTCTAGACTTCAAAATTGATCATGTCAATTTCATTCTGTTGTCTAGGCTATATGTATTCAGTTGCATTCAGTTGGCACCTATGAAAACAAGTATGATAAAAACAGATTAAATGAAGCACATTTTTATCAAGAAAAAGTTTCCCTTTACAATTTGTAGTCATGATAAATATCATTGCACCAAACTCCTGATAGGTAACTGTAGTTACCCACAGCCAACCTGGCCATCAGTGATTCAGGTAAGCAAAAGCGGTCTGTTTTTCATACCTAAAGATATTGATAGTGTTTGTTACCTATCCCTTATGTACCATTTTGCTATCAACTCGTATATTGAAGTGTAGTGCATAATTAAACATACTACATTAAGCAAAATAATTTACCACAAAAAAAATTATGGTAAATGCCTGCATTCACTTCCAAATTGTGTTCAGTTAACAAAGACATGCTCACATTTGCATGGGTCATGTCCTTGAATAGATACTTTAAGCTACACGCCAGAGTTCAGAAGTGTCGAACATTATAGTAGGAACTTTGTGCCAAATGGCACTGTCAGTACAGCCATATAAATATTAGAACAGACTTTTTTTTTCTTACCTGGATGAGCATCAGCTATCTCGGTAGTGAGTAACTACAGCTACCTTCCACCAGTTCAGTAGAGTAAAAGCACTTCAATTCTGATTCGGATAAACTCAAGATCGTACATAACTGCATTTAGTTTTAAATGGATCTGTGAGCCACTGGTTAGTTTAACGTCCTACATTTGCATATTGAAAATTCATATAAGGATATATTAGTAGAATTATCTTTGTAAACTATTATTTGCCCCTAATTTCAAATAGTTTGATTTAGAGAAATGTTATTTACCTTGTCAATGCGATAGTGATGATTGAAATTTTGAGTTGAAGACAATTCATTCAGTTATGATGGCAATAATTGCAGTTTTAGCTCCTCCCAAAGTTCTAGGGTCTACATCTGACCTAAATTTAATGTTTGAATGACTTAGTTTTCTGTACACCATTTTCAGGGTTTCTTTTACTAGTAAAAGAGAAATTCTATGGCTAGAATTTAAGTTAGTTATAATCAAATTAGGTACATTTGTATTAAGCCTTTAAGAAAAAGGTCAAGGTATGATTTTGTATGTTGTAACTGGTATTGCAGAAAAAATGTTGGTCAAACTAATCATACCAGATTCAGGTCAGACGTCAAGGTTACATTTTGTATAATTAAGCTGGTACACATTTTGCGATGAAGTCAAGATGATTGGTTTTCAATGAGAAATCAACTAAAAAATAGTCAACACATACTGTTACACATAGATGTAGTAGATTTGGTCTCAACTGTGAAGCCAGACGTCTCGGGGGCCAACAGACATTAACGTATATCATGACCTTCATTACATCATAGTTGTGTCATTTTTTAACAGTGTAGTCAGTCGGGAATCTTTGCCTATAAAATACCTTCTGATATCATTTCTATATTTCATTCTGTATACCATACCAAGAAAGGATAAAGACTTGCAACAAGTTGATATAGAAATCATTTTAATTAGCAAATCTGATGAACACATGAAGTCTACACTTGTACTTCAAAAAGAAAGAAAAACATGAGAAAGGAAAATACTACATAAGGTGGCTTCATTTTGTTAAGCAGATATCTTAAATTTTTCTTTTTTTTTTTTTTTTTTAATTTATGAGCTCTCGTTCTATACACATTTTTTAACGAAATTAGAATATATGTACAATATCTTATCATAATGGAAACCAATTTCCTAGTATTTTTCAAATAATCCTGAAAGAGCACATATCTGTGTTACAGATTTGATGGCTTGACCTACATCAAGGTGACTTTGATCTTTAAAACATGATGAATGTAATTAACAAGTCTTGCACAACACTTATATAAAGCACTCTGAATCAAGTGTTAAACACTGAAACTCCACAGTTTCGTTGTAGGACAGCACACCGTTGGAAGATGGCACAATATGATCAACATAGCACAATAGTAATAATGGACCAAGAAAAGTCCATCTTAAATAGAAAGAAACTATTCAATCTATGACAAGTTTGAATTTTACCTGAGAGACAGCTTAAAGTTTGAGGTCTGATAGAAAAATGAGATGGAAAACGCTAAATTTCTTCAGATTGTCTGAAAAGCTGATCACATGTAATGAATGCTTACTAAATATACAAAAGTAGTATTAAAGCTTATTAAACAGAAAGCAGAATTACTGCCATACCCGGTAAAGCTTACTAGACAGAAAGTAGTACATATGTTTGTCATACCCAGTAAAGCTAAATAGACAGAAAGCTGTACATAATGTACATATTACAGTCAGGTTTTATTTTATTATTTTCAGGTTTTATTTTCCCCTATTGGAGGATTTAATAAATTTTTGAAAGGAACATAATCTGTTATTTCCATGAAAAATACATCCCTTCTTGTGAAGACTTTGAGTAAACCCACGATCATTTGAACAATAAATACAGCCTTGATATCATTTTTCTTGATAAGGCTCACTCAGCTGACTAAGGAAACTCTCAGCTGAAGTAATTGTGGATTTAACTGTGATAGTAATAGGTATGTCAGGAGAAATAATATCAATACAGGGTATTCTCACTAATGCCCACTACAATAACTCCAATTGAATCAAAATGGTTTTAAAATTTGATGAAAATGGTTATGACTTCCATTGATTTTGAAGGATTTTTATGTTATACATTGAAAATTAAAAAACCTTCATAGAAAAATCAAGTCGTGAAATAATGGAAATATGGATTGATCCCAAATTGATGTCTGGATGGCTTCAAGCTGATGTAATGAATCACTCTGAAGCCAACCCAAGTTCACCATAAGCTGAAGACTTCACACCATGGTGGATAACACAAGCAGCTAAGCCAAGGTAGACTTCACACCATGGTGGATAACACAAGCAGCTAAGCCAAGGTAGACTTCACACCATGGTGGATAACACAAGCAGCTAAGCCAAGGTAGACTTCACACCATGGTGGATAACACAAGCAGCTAAGCCAAGGTAGACTTCACACCATGGTGGATAACACAAGCAGCTAAGCCAAGGTAGAATTCACACCATGGTGGATAACACAAGCAGCTAAGCCAAGGTAGACTTCACACCATGGTGGATAACACAAGCAGCTAAGCCAAGGTAGAATTCACACCATGGTGGATAACACAAGCAGCTAAGCCAAGGTAGAATTCACACCATGGTGGATAACACAAGCAGCTAAGCCAAGGTAGACTTCACACCATGGTGGATAACACAAGCAGCTAAGCCAAGGTAGACTTCACACCATGGTGGATAACACAAGCAGCTAAGCCAAGGTAGACTTCACACCATGGTGGATAACACAAGCAGCTAAGCCAAGGTAGACTTCACACCATGGTGGATAACACAAGCAGCTAAGCCAAGGTAGACTTCACACCATGGTGGATAACACAAGCAGCTAAGCCAAGGTAGAATTCACACCATGGTGGATAACACAAGCAGCTAAGCCAAGGTAGACTTCACACCATGGTGGATAACACAAGCAGCTAAGCCAAGGTAGACTTCACACCATGGTGGATAACACAAGCAGCTAAGCCAAGGTAGACTTCACACCATGGTGGATAACACAAGCAGCTAAGCCAAGGTAGACTTCACACCATGGTGGATTACACAAGCAGCTAAGCCAAGGTAGAATTCACACCATGGTGGATAACACAAGCAGCTAAGCCAAGGTAGACTTCACACCATGGTGGATAACACAAGCAGCTAAGCCAAGGTAGACTTCACACCATGGTGGATAACACAAGCAGCTAAGCCAAGGTAGACTTCACACCATGGTGGATAACACAAGCAGCTAAGCCAAGGTAGAATTCACACCATGGTGGATAACACAAGCAGCTAAGCCAAGGTAGACTTCACACCATGGTGGATAACACAAGCAGCTAAGCCAAGGTAGACTTCACACCATGGTGGATAACACAAGCAGCTAAGCCAAGGTAGACTTCACACCATGGTGGATAACACAAGCAGCTAAGCCAAGGTAGACTTCACACCATGGTGGATTACACAAGCAGCTAAGCCAAGGTAGAATTCACACCATGGTGGATAACACAATAAGCTAAGCCAAGGTAGACTTCACACCATGGTGGATAACACAAGCAGCTAAGCCAAGGTAGACTTCACACCATGGTGGATTACACAAGCAGCTAAGCCAAGGTAGAATTCACACCATGGTGGATAACACAAGCAGCTAAGCCAAGGTAGACTTCACACCATGGTGGATAACACAAGCAGCTAAGCCAAGGTAGACTTCACACCATGGTGGATTACACAAGCAGCTAAGCCAAGGTAGAATTCACACCATGGTGGATAACACAAGCAGCTAAGCCAAGGTAGAATTCACACCATGGTGGATAACACAAGCAGCTAAGCCAAGGTAGACTTCACACCATGGTGGATAACACAAGCAGCTAAGCCAAGGTAGACTTCACACCATGGTGGATAACACAAGCAGCTAAGCCAAGGTAGAATTCACACCATGGTGGATAACACAAGCAGCTAAGCCAAGGTAGAATTCACACCATGGTGGATAACACAAGCAGCTAAGCCAAGGTAGACTTCACACCATGGTGGATAACACAAGCAGCTAAGCCAAGGTAGAATTCACACCATGGTGGATAACACAAGCAGCTAAGCCAAGGTAGACTTCACACCATGGTGGATAACACAAGCAGCTAAGCCAAGGTAGAATTCACACCATGGTGGATAACACAAGCAGCTAAGCCAAGGTAGACTTCACACCATGGTGGATAACACAAGCAGCTAAGCCAAGGTAGACTTCACACCATGGTGGATAACACAAGCAGCTAAGCCAAGGTAGAATTCACACCATGGTGGATAACACAAGCAGCTAAGCCAAGGTAGACTTCACACCATGGTGGATAACACAAGCAGCTAAGCCAAGGTAGACTTCACACCATGGTGGATAACACAAGCAGCTAAGCCAAGGTAGAATTCACACCATGGTGGATAACACAAGCAGCTAAGCCAAGGTAGACTTCACACCATGGTGGATAACACAAGCAGCTAAGCCAAGGTAGACTTCACACCATGGTGGATAACACAAGCAGCTAAGCCAAGGTAGACTTCACACCATGGTGGATAACACAAGCAGCTAAGCCAAGGTAGACTTCACACCATGGTGGATAACACAAGCAGCTAAGCCAAGGTAGACTTCACACCATGGTGGATAACACAAGCAGCTAAGCCAAGGTAGACTTCACACCATGGTGGATAACACAAGCAGCTAAGCCAAGGTAGACTTCACACCATGGTGGATAACACAAGCAGCTAAGCCAAGGTAGACTTCACACCATGGTGGATTACATTTGAGAAGCTAACTCTAGTTGGCTAACAGTTGGAAAATTATTGGAGAAACTAGCCCTAGGTGGAAATGTCACATTGTGGTGATTTTATTGGAAAAGCTACTGCTAGGTGTCAAAATTTTGAAACCATGATGGATTACAATGGCAATGCAGTAACTGGATTGCTTCAGCTTGAGAAGCTAACATACGTGATTGTAGCTGCCATACAGAATATGTCGTGTGTAAAAGAAAACAAATTTCGGCCATCATATATTCAGTAAAGTTTCATCTCAACAGAAGGCACCTGGTACCCGCTATTCTTAAGTTGATCGAGGGCTTATATCCTGTTCTGATTACATTACATTAGTGATAACATTGGATGTTAACAGTCATACACCATACAGGGTGAATGGCATTACTGATATATAACTTAAAAAAAACAGAATTTTTTATACAAGTGTTAATAATAACAATACCATTGCAAAAAGGAGATTTACACAATACATGTATAAAGTTATCACCTGGCAGTGCAATCTCAGGTGAAGTTTTCAAAGTCAAATAGAACTGCTGTTTGATATATGGGAGAAGGTGTTTTATCATATATGTATATTATAGGTAGAACACAGCATGATACTGAATCAATATATTTCCATTAAAACATTACAAAATTTAATTATGCACTTTCAATGAAAACTGACCATAATATCTGAACAAGCACTTATATAACACAGTTGTTTCCCATTGTTACGGTTCAGGTGACCATCTGGCACAACTCCTGACCTTGTAATAAACCAATTAATATCACATATTTGCTGTTGCATAATTAAAATTCTGATTAATCAATGATCAGTTATGCAAAGGCTCCTTAACAGTTTTAGACTACGTACAAATACATATACCATCCATAAGGTGACACATACAGAACTTCCGACGATGTAAAAACAAGGGTAGCAAAATTGAAACCCTTGATTTCATAAGTCTCTGTACAATCAACCCTGCAGCACAGGTATTGTACATGTATGTCAATAAGAACCTGGGACAGTGATAATCCTAGTAGTTTCAGACATATTATGTGTTATGTTAGGAATTCTTGATGAAGATCCTACGTCTATCCTAACTATAAAATTATCCTATAATATCAACAATTAATATCGTGTGGTTTTATCATTGTAATCTTAATTACCTAGTCCAGTTGTAGACATGATAGAATGATATCCATACAAAAAATATATATAACAATTTTTTTATACAAGACTTCACAATGTACATGTTCTTCACATGTGTAAACAGCTTCAAGTTTGCGTCAACATAGCCTGCTTCAAGTTACAAATCAATAATTATATAAATATAACACAAACAAAACAATACACTTAATGGCCCAAATAACACAATGCAGACTATTACAAGTAAAACATTAACAATTTAGTTACGATGTTGTAGCTAGTCTATATATATATATATATTGCTATCACAGTAATATGTTAGTTTCTAAACTGTACCCTGTATTAACTGTATACCTGTACAAACAAGAATCCATCTTTTAACACATCAGAAAATGCACCTGTATCTTAACAGGTGTTTTCAGGTGTCCTTTTTTTACAGGTTTAGGAAACCAGAGGTCTAGTAAGCCAAGTGTTCACCTTTTTAGAAAGGCTTAGCAAATAAGGTGTCTACCAGTTTAGCTTAAGTGTCTATTTTAGACAGGTTTCACCAGACATGCATCACCTTTAATATACCTGTTATTGTACAATACACTTCTCCCAACATTGCAAAAGAAAGACATTAAGCAATTAATTTTCAAGAGGATGTATTTCTCAAAAAATGTTACTGATTTTCTCTTTTTCTTTCTTCCTTCTTTTTTTGGAAGAATGTAGATTATGGATTATTGACGATGTATCAAAACCTCATCATAATCTGGAAAATGTGTTAGTGTTAATGTCTGTCAAAGATTGAAGTATAAGAAGCAAATACCCTTTTTGAAATAATGAATATCTGTTTTAAATATCATATATTTGGTATGATAACAATTGATCTTGGCACTCGTACAATTCCTCCTAGTAACTACAGCAACCATATCTTCTCCAATAACATGAAATATTTCTTAATTTCAAATTCATATTATCTTCTTTGGTTATTTCTTTTAAAAAAATGGAAGCAAACTGTTCTGTTCATTCTGTTTATCGGAGGAATATAATAAAGATTTTACTGAAACACTGTAGTAAATAAACAAATAATATAAACAACACATATAAAGCATTATACAACTGACTGTTATTGTAATATCAGTCTTAATAATACAAAAGTACAAAAACAAGTTAAAGGAATTCATCAACTTAATAATAAACTTGTCAACATGACATACAGGGCCCTGTACATTTCTATTTAGTCAGATGTTGATATACCAGTTTTCCATAAGCAGCAGTGTATAGCATTTATATGTAAGAGAAATCGGAGAATTCTATTAAGCTCTGGAAAAGTTCCTAATATTTCTAGGTAAATAGATAAAGTTTGAAATAATGTAATGTTAACTTGGAAAGCAAAATCTGTTCACCAGTTATTTTCAAATTTTCAAAAAATTTTAAAGAAATAAAAGTTTTGAAGTAAAATTCTACTTTTGATTACATGCCATGACAAAGGGGAAAAAAACATTAGCATTTTGTTTTACCCGAGAAGGTAGACAGATTTGTGTACGAAATTACACATAATTGAATCAATTGATTTCTATAAAGGTATCATGCACAAATTACCACATAAATTTCCTGTTAGAATACACAAGTACCCTGACAAATTATACAAATCACATTCATACAGACATTCAGAAAACATCGCCCTGACAGAGACGTCCAGATAGAAATATTTGTTGTGTCACTGTTCTAATGACTTTGAATCCCAGCAAAGTTTAAGTCCAAGAGTAAGGAGAGTACCAAGATATCTTACATACACAATCAATTGTTTTTATTTATTTTTATCTTTGTCTGATTTCTTGAAGAGATTTTTTCGAAAAATTGAAGATGGTTTCCTTTCCTCTGGTTTTGCAGTACCATTCAATTCTTTCGGGCTTTTCTTGTGAACTACCAAGAAGTTGTACACATTTGGAAAGGACTGGTCATTGATGCCCTTCTTGGTGGCGAACAGAGATAGCATATAGTTACCAGGGACTGGGGCATTCACAAAGAACCGAGTCTTTTGTGGATCAGCATCATCCTTCACCATGGATACCAATTCATTCTTTTCCTCATCTGGCTCCTTCAGGAACTGAAATGACATCGTGACTTTACTTGGTACCAATATGTCGATGGTGCACTGGTTTGTTTCTGAACAATAAATCTTTGGTTCCTTGTGTGACAAAACCTTCAAGCCAAACTCTTCAAACTGAGCTGTAGGCCCCCATTTTTCTTTCTTAGCAACTTGCTTTGGTTGCATTCTAGGAAGATCAACAGGCTTGGAAACCTTCACACAGTTTAAGAGGAATTTAAAGGCATGTGATAAGGTAGTTGATTCACTAGCCTCCTTTGGTCGAGCATAGACATCCAGACCAAACTGACCAGTCTGAGGAGGGCTAACTCGCACCTTCAAAGTATCCCCTTCCACTGAAGAATGCACAAAAGGGTCCAATACCTTGCTTTCATAAACATTTGATTTCAGTTTGGCGACAAAATGAAGAGGTCTAGGAATCTTGGCATATAGTTCGATACCATCTTCCACATTGATGATGCCTGCCTTGGGGTTATCGGGAGCGTCACCAAGCCCACTTTCTGAACTGCCACTGTCAGAAAGTTTGTCGGAATTGTCGTTGACTGTGGAATTTTCTGGAACTGTTTTACCAAGATGTCTCAACTGCTTCATATGGATACCAAAATGTCTCTTTCCCTTCAATGGGCCCCATTCTCCTGAGGCACAATCGGGAAGTGGATGCATCTTGCCCGACAACTGTGGACAGCTCACTTTGAATTTGCATGCACATTTCAATCGGAATGGTGATATACCAGAACCTGAATCTTCAGAATTTCCAAATCTGTTGCTCTCTTCAATTTTGTTCGCAAATATTTCAAAGAAGAAATCTCCGGTGGTTGGAAGGTGTATACTAAACATAACCGTGTTGTGGATCATTGTCTGGAAGACAAAACGTTCTAAGCTGGAACCTCTATAGGTTGCCTCCATTCTCTTTTCCTTTTCTGCAAATCGTAACTGATAGTAGAACACCAAGTCGTTTTCTAAACTCTCTGGAATCTTGAGTTTGATGTCACATCCACCTTTAGCAGAGGCATCTAGAACAGCAGTCATCCCATGATCAAAACGCATTCCAAAATGAAAGAAAACAGAACGTACAAATGGAAGTGCTTCAAATTCTTCCAAAGTGATTGGGTTTTCAAGCAACTGCCATTCTGGCTCCCTCGACCAGAATTCCTGGATGAACTCATCTGGATCAGTTAAAAAGTAGTGCTCATCATATTGGTATCGAATCTGATCCTTGGAGGAAGATTTTTCTTTTGCCTTATTCTTGTCTTTGTTCAACACCAGGTGCCTGTAAAATAAGATCACTAAAGTCAAAGACAATATACAGGTGTGTGTACTTTGTTTTATATACAGCAAAACAACTGCTGAATGTCACACTGGTCTGTACACAGCTCAGCAGTACATTACACTCCAGTTACACTGTGTCTGTACACCGTTCAACAGTACATTACACTCCAGTTACACCGTGTCTGTACACTGTTCAGCAGTACATTACACTCCAGTTACACTGTGTCTGTACACTGTTCAACAGTAAATTACACCTCAGCTACACTGCATGTGTTTGTATTCTGTTCAACAGTACATTACACCCCAGTTACACTGTATGTGTTCGTATTCTGTTCAACAGTACATTACACCCCAGTTACACTGTATGTGTTCGTATTCTGTTCAACAGTACATTACACCCCAGTTACACTGTATGTGTTCGTATACTGTTCAACAGTACATTACACCCCAGTTACACTGTATGTGTTCGTATACTGTTCAACAGTAAATTACACCCCAGTTACACTGTATGTGTTCGTATTCTGTTCAACAGTACATTACACCCCAGTTACACTGTGTCTGTACACTGTTCAACATTTACCTTACATCCAGGTTACACTGTATCAGCCTGTGTCTGTACAGCTTTTAGCATTTACCTTACATCCAGGTTACACTGTACAGTGTGTCTGTACACTGTTCAACATTTACCCATCAGTTACACTGTATGCCTGTGTCTGTACAGCTTTTAGCATTTACCTTACATCCAGGTTACACTGTATCAGCCTGTGTCTGTACAGCTTTTAGCATTTACCTTACATCCAGGTTACACTGTATGTGTCTGTACACTGTTCAACATTTACCTTACATCCAGGTTACACTGTATCAGCCTGTGTCTGTACAGCTTTTAGCATTTACCTTACATCCAGGTTACACTGTATCAGCCTGTGTCTGTACAGCTTTTAGCATTTACCTTACATCCAGGTTACACTGTATCAGCCTGTGTCTGTACACTGTTCAACATTTACCTTACATCCAGGTTACACTGTATCAGCCTGTGTCTGTACACTGTTCAACATTTACCTTACATCCAGGTTACACTGTATCAGCCTGTGTCTGTACAGCTTTTAGCATTTACCTTACATCCAGGTTACACTGTATCAGCCTGTGTCTGTACACTGTTCAACATTTACCTTACATCCAGGTTACACTGTATCAGCCTGTGTCTGTACACTGTTCAACATTTACCTTACATCCAGGTTACACTGTATCAGCCTGTGTCTGTACAGCTTTTAGCATTTACCTTACATCCAGGTTACACTGTATCAGCCTGTGTCTGTACAGCTTTTAGCATTTACCTTACATCCAGGTTACACTGTATCAGCCTGTGTCTGTACACTGTTCAACATTTACCTTACATCCAGGTTACACTGTATCAGCCTGTGTCTGTACAGCTTTTAGCATTTACCTTAAGCTCTAATTACATTATATGAGCCACCAGTCTTACTAAACACTGTTTACCTGGTGTCCCATTTATGCCTCAAGTCCCTACTGTAATATGACTATACTTTTTCAAAATGTTTTTATATTTTGTCCCAGTTACACAAATTACACCAACGTTCCATCTCCGATATATGATCTACAGTTCAATAAACTGTACAATATTTACCTTGCACCCCAGTTACACTGAATGAGGCGCCAGTCTCCATCTATAAGCACAGCGTTCCATGTGTTCTGGAAGGTGTCTGGCTGGATCTTCATCCCAGGTTCATACCCCACACTTTTAGAGTGACCTTTGATCTCAACACAATGCAAACCAGCATAGCTGTGAAAAATCAGATTTGACATAAACATTTCATTTGCGTAGCATTTCCTCTGTTTTCATCATCTGACTAATTCAATTTATTTATCAGGGATGAAAGTGGCTGGCATTGGAAAAGGCGGAAATCTGCCTATCGGTGGAAATTTTTCATCTCTGTTGTAATTCAACTATAGCTTTCAAATGTTCGACTGATGTAAGAGTTATCTTCCTTCGTATTATCGATTTGACAATACCGGAAACTCGATGCTCGTAACTGCTCGATGTTTAATTTTACAGTTTATAAGGGAATATAAATCAAAGGATTTAAGAACAGAGTTGATAAAGATTGTTTAAAAATAAAATGCAAGACATACCTAACCCCCCCTCCCCCCCCCCCCCGGAAATTTTCTCGCCGGATTTGCATCGATCTCAAAAATGACCAAATTTGTCATGAAAAAGGCGAAATTCCGCCAATCACATTAAATTATTTAAGAACAATATGTCTAAACTGACTCTGTTTTACATCACAATGTAACCTGTCCAAAGTGATTCTGTATAAATCAGTATAACCTGTCCAAAGTGATTCTGTATAAATCAGTATAACCTATCCAAAGTGACCGTGTATCACATTACAGAATAACCTGTGTAAACTGACCATGTATCACATTACAGTATAACCTGTGTAAACTGACCATGTATCACATTACAGAATAACCTGTGTAAACTGACCGTGTATCACATTACAGAATAACCTGTCCAAACTGACCATGTATCACATTACAGAATAACCTGTCCAAACTGACCATGTATCACATTACAGAATAACTTGTGTAAACTGACCATGTATAACATTACAGAATAACCTGTGTAAACTGACCATGTATAATACATTACAGTATAACCTGTCCAAAGTGACCATGTATAACATTACAGAACAACCTGTCCAAACTGACCATGTATAACATTACAGAATAACCTGTATAAACTGACCATGTATAACATTACAGAATAACCTGTCCAAACTGACCATGTATAACATTACAGTATAACCTGCCAAACTGACCATGTATAACATTACAGAATAACCTGTGTAAACTGACCATGTATAACATTACAGAACAACCTGTCCAAACTGACCATGGATAACATTACAGAACAACCTGTCCAAACTGACCATGTATCACATTACAGAATAACCTGTGTAAACTGACCATGTATAACATTACAGAATAACCTGTATAAACTGACCATGTATAACATTACAGTATAACCTGTCCAAACTGACCATGTATAACATTACAGTATAACCTGCCAAACTGACCATGTATAACATTACAGAATAACCTGTGTAAACTGACCATGTATAACATTACAGAACAACCTGTCCAAACTGACCATGGATAACATTACAGAACAACCTGTCCAAACTGACCATGTATCACATTACAGAATAACCTGTGTAAACTGACCATGTATAACATTTCAGAATAACCTGTCCAAACTGACCATGTATAACATTACAGAATAACCTGTATAAACTGACCATGTATAACATTACAGAATAACCTGTCCAAACTGACCATGTATAACATTACAGTATAACCTGCCAAACTGACCATGTATAACATTACAGAACAACCTGTGTAAACTGACCATGTATAACATTACAGAACAACCTGTCCAAACTGACCATGTATAACATTACAGAACAACCTGTCCAAACTGACCATGTATCACATTACAGAATAACCTGTGTAAACTGACCATGTATAACATTACAGAACAACCTGTCCAAACTGACCATGGATAACATTACAGTATAACTTGTCCAAACTGACCATGGATAACATTACAGAATAACCTGTCCAAACTGACCATGTATCACATTACAGAATAACCTGTCCAAACTGACCATGTATAACATTACAGTATAACCTGTCCAAACTGACCATGTATAACATTACAGAATAACCTGTCCAAACTGACCATGTATAACATTACAGAATAACCTGTCCAAACTGACCATGTATAACATTACAGTATAACCTGCCAAAATGACCATGTATAACATTACAGAATAACCTGTCCAAACTGACCATGTATAACATTACAGTATAACCTGTCCAAACTGACCATGCATAACATTACAGAATAACCTGTCCAAACTGACCATGTATAACATTACAGTATAACCTGTCCAAACTGACCATGTATAACATTACAGTATAACCTGTCCAAACTGACCATGTATAACATTACAGAATAACCTGTCCAAACTGACCATGTATAACATTACAGTATAACCTGTCCAAACTGACCATGGATAACATTACAGAATAACCTGTCCAAACTGACCATGTATAACATTTCAGAATAACCTGTCCATAATGACCATGTATAACATTATTGTGTAACCTTTCTAAATTGACCTTGTATTGCAATTTTATTGTATAACCTGTCCAAACAGACCCTACAAACCTGTCCAAACAGACCCTACAAACCTGTCCAAACAGACCCTACAAACCTGTCCAAACAGACCCTACAAACATGTCCAAACAGACCCTACAAACCTGTCCAAACTGACCCTGAATATCATTATAATACAACTTATACAAGACTACATTACAACAGTTCTATATTGACCCTTCCTTATCATTACAGAACCATACTTGAGATGTTTAAGTATGAGTTGTTCAGTTATGACACCTTATTGTATACATACTAAAATGTTTAACTACTTTGCTGACAAAGTTCTATATTCAAATACATTTAAAAACTAATTAAAAACGGCCATTGAAACATCCTTGGAATGAGAAGATCACACACCCTATTTATCTTGTCCTGTCTCTATTCATTCATTCAAATTCAAAATGTATGGTGTATAGTTTGACTTTTTTTTTTCTTTTTTCTTTCATGAAGAAAAATTATGCAGACACATGACATGAAAAATAGTTTTCGCTCCACTAATCAATATAATGACATCAAACATTTATCAGATTTTTTCAATTTATTGGACAGGAAAATACGACAACAGCTACTGACAGCCACAAAACACATCTCATAAAACACGATACTCTACCTGCATAGCCTCATGAATAGTACATGATAGGTTTCTGTGCCAAATTTGATCCCACGTAAAAGGCCCATGGGGTTGTCAGTGCCCAAAGTTTCTTCAAAGTCTATTATGTTAAGGTCTTTCACAGTCACCCATCGATACAGAGCTCTGCACAACAAATCAATATTGTTAGGAAACATATCATAAAAGCTGTTACAATAATACATCACTTGTTAACTATCTTTGTTGGTTTGTTTGAACTGCTAACTACCCGAGAGAATATTTATTAACAATACTGGTTGTCAACTATTGGAAGTTTAACTACTGGAAATATATATACATAATTTTGTGTCAGATGAGAAATTAAAAATCTGTATACAAAGTGCTGACTGATGAACAGAATGTATATCCACAGATTTATGATTAATGCATGAAAGTTTGATATGTATTACTAACACTAAAGGGAATATTTATGAGATCTGTGTTTGAAACTTGGAGAAAATAATTACATTTTCAAAATTAAGACAGAGAAAGACAATTTTTAACTGTTAAAAAATGTTGGAGTCATTTGTGCTGAAAATTAAAATTATCAGATGAGCTGTAACTGAAGTTATTTATAGAATCAATAAAGTGTAGTAATTACTGTTACACACCTGACTTTTTCAAGGTCTGTCTTCAGATTCTCTGTCAGCTGCTGAACCAACTCTGTGTATGTGCACTGCTCATTTTCAGCAACCTGAAAGAGGAACAAATGACTTAAGAGTTTGGTATCATAACAAAAATCTATAGAAATAATTATCTCCACTATCAATCAATAAATGGTCTAAATTATCTTAACCAATCAATGAATTAATTATCTTAACCAATCAATGATTTCTAAATTATCTCAACCAATCAATGAATTGTCTAAATTATCTCAACCAATCAATGAATTGTCTAAATTATCTCAACCAATCAATGAATGGTCAATTCATTTGAACTAATCAATCAATGATCTAAATCAATTTCCATTTATCATCATATTGCACCTGAAATATATAGATATTCATTCAAAGTTTTAATTCAAAGTGTGAATGGCTTTATGTATAATTATCAGACAGGTACACTCGGTGATACAGGTACACCCGGTGATACAGGTACATCCGGTGATACAGGTACACCCGGTGATACAAACAGATTGGTAATTATATAAAATATAAATACTTCATTTTCATTTCATGATACTGAAATGTGCATTTTTATGAACAAGAACAGGAAATGTATGTACCTTGATAACGTCTTCATCTAGTTCATTGAAGATGCCGACATCCTCGTAGAGTTCTTTTTTGCGACATGATGGAGGATTCGGAGGGGGAAGATCTGTGGCAGGGAGACCTAAAGCTTCAATTACCTCCTCTACAAGCTCCTCTTGTTCGTCATGTCCATTAACACCGTTCTACAACAAAATTAGATTTCTTAAACAACCATACATCTACCACACAGATTTCCTTGGCAACCAACTACACATATTCTACAACAAGTCAGATTTCCTTGACAACCATACATACACACATTCTACTACACATCAGATTTCTTTGACAAGCAGCTACACCTATTCTACAACAAGTCAGATTTCCTTGACAACATACCTACACACATTTCATAACACAAACACATAACCTGAAGAAAATATCCCAAAATATTTGATACATAATTATACTGTTATAATCCAAAGCAATTCCATTATATTTGACCAGTATTACAGTGAACTATGATACTGAAAAAGCACTTCCAAGATCTATTTTATGATAAAAATGAAGTTCACTTACCGTTTCCTGTGCAATCTCTTCCACAATTTCTTGTTTGATTTCTTCCTTTTTGGCAGCCAGTAACTGTAACATCTGTTTACTTTGTCGGGCCACCATTGTTGATGTGACCTTCTGTTCCTTCTCCCGAATCCTCATTGTCATGGACTCACGTTTCCTGTTTCTTTTCTCATTAATGGTCACCTCCAAGTCCTTCCTCTGGTTTTCAAAGTGCATCGTCATTTGCTGGAAATAATTAGTCAACAATGACGATTTTGTAGTAATCAAATTAGACTTTGTGATTAGGAGTTCAATTACCAGATGTGTTCTGCCAGGACAGACCTCCCCCTCACCCATTACCCTACACCTTGTCCAATACAGAACCTTAAACTTTGACCTCCATCTAAAAGTTGAGCTGGTTGTGCAGAACTTTATGCTGTGATACAATAATCATATCGATATAAAAGAAAAACATAGACTGATTCTTGAGATATTTTATATATGCTTTTTATTCCAACAGTTGTGTGATTTTTAAAGTTGTGTGATTATTTATCTCTCAGATTTAAACAGACTTGAAAGCCTCAAAATTTGTAGAAGTTGATGGTAAAATGTTGTTTGTATTAATTGAATTTCTTGAATGACAGGTTTTTGAGAATCAATGAAATCACATCAACATTGGAGCATATTAAAAAGTAAGACCTCACAAGACACACCAAAAGGCTAGTTTATAATGAAAAGTGTGGTACTTGTTGAGCTATATCTTAAAACAAGAGGCCCATTCGCTTATGCAGGTCGTCCGAGTTGAATTTTTACTTTAAACAAATGATGAATACAAACTTAACAAAACTGCCTTATCCAATATCAAGCATACAGATTAAATCCTGAGTTATTGTTTGTGGCAAGTGTGGATTTAAAGTATACTGCAGAAATTTGAACAAATCCAACTCTTAGGGCCCTGCACTGAAGTTTTCAAAACATTAAGACTTCTTGACAATGAAATTCCAAAGTGTTATGTAATCCCAACTTATAATGAATACAAATGCTCAAACATTTGACCCCTGTGACCTTGATAGTGTGTCAAGGTCATTCAGTTGAACAAACTTGGTAGATCTTCATCCCAACATGCTACAGGCCTAACATCAGACCTCTATGACTATCAATTATTGAGAAGTCAAAAATGTAAATTGTTTACAATATGACAAATGATGACAGACAAAATGCAATATCACTAGGTTAATTAAGCCTGTCTCAGGTGACCTAAAACAAAGGAAATATTTGAGTAATACTAAACTCAAATATTTCAGTTCAGACTGTTAAAGCATATGTAGTGGTTAACAGTATGTTATTGTTTACAAAAAAAATGTGTATGTGTAGTTATGGGGTTACTTTTCTGTATGAGCGGTCACATGTTCACTGTTCAACACTAAAATACCGATGTAATCTAGTCATTCCACACAGAAAAAGCCAGCTTAAACACAGAAATCTCAAAACACACAAGGCTGAAAATAGACCCATTCAAGCTGGATCTCACGTTGTAACCTGTTTTCTAAAGTTATAATACAATAAGTATACACTTGTGTCAGTAAACACCATTTCTTCAAATTAACTCTAATCTATATGACATTTCAAAGAGGTCTAGCACAGGCACTCAAGAGTATTCTATCACCTGTACAACAAAACAGAACTACCATTTATATATTAACCAATCATACATGCATCAGTCTGATATGGCAGTTATGTACACCCCTATATTTGAACAATATTATAAAATAGTTCCATTCATTACTATCAATACTATGTAGATATATTGAATGTTCTTAAACAGTTTCATTAGGGCTCGATATATGTAATAACACTTGATATTTATACAAGATTTTCTTGAGGAAACAGATACGTTTCAACTGTACTTCCAAACTCCTGGGCACCTTTGTGTATAATTATATTGTATAGAACTATCTGAAATTTGAAATTCAAATATGGTACAGTGCACACTAAGGATTTTAACTAGTCATTTTGATATCCATTTCTTTAACAACAACCACAGCAAAATATTTGAAAGAAATTTTATCAAACTTTTATTTATCTAGTTGACTAATTTCTCTTTGATCAACAAGTTACAGGAAGATAAAACACCAAACCCTATAGAAAGCCCATCTTACTTTCTCTTAACACAAACATTCAAATAGACTTGGAGATCCATTTCCAGCAAGTTCTTCCATCATTTTAAGTAAGAAAATATATCTAGAAGTATTCAAGGCTTTAAGCTTTTTAAAACTGACATGCCCATCCATATATAAAAAATGGTATTTTCAGTAATGCAGTTAGCCCACACTCTTTAAGTCAGGATTTGTATGTTGCCCCCCCCCTTCCTTCCCCCCCCCCCATGAGCTTATTATCCTACAATAAGCCCACCCCTTGACTGAGTTAGGATTCGTATATTGGCCCCCTGGTCTTATTGTAGGATAAATACAGTAATACTGGACCACATCTTTATAGAAATTTCAATTTAACAAACATTCGTAAGAAATCTGTAATTAACAAAGTAGACATTGTAACTACAGGCTGTTTTCTTCTAAATCCCTGAATAACATTTAAGATTTAATTTGCAATTATAAATCAAAATTTAATAAAAATCGTTTTTAAAAAGCGTGTTAAATTACAAAATGAAATTGATATCTAAGTTACACCTGCTGGACTTTGGCATTGATGGGAATTCATTTCATATACAATTGTATGATAAGAAACATTTTTCAGGAATTCCAGGCCCAAAGTACCACATTTCATGGCTGAGCAAATAACAGACTTTACTATTCAATTACAGAAGTATATGACAGTGAACAAAGATATGTTTTCATGAAGTAAAAACATCAGCCTTCAGTGCCAATGATAACTCATGTATACAATTAATTATACTAAGTAGCTTGTATCATAAATATTGCTAATAAAAATGTAATCAAATTCTTCAGATAAAAATAAAGCATGCAAAAAAACAAAAAACAAACCAAAAACAAAAAAGCTTTGTTCTTTGTATAATAAATTTCAATGACCATATTTGACATTTTTTGTGAGATTGTTGCTGTCTATTTCCAGGTGCAGACATTTCCATACATCAGACAAGCTTTCATCTGACCAGGATTACCTGTTTCCAGGTTTTTTACCCCTATCTAATATCAGATGGTACAATCCACCTGAATGATGTACCATTCCCCACATCCTCCATTAGTCATGTCTATATATATGTACAGTCTAACTTACTACTTCTTCCAACCATATGTACTTTTACCTTCAGGCAGACAAATATAGGAACTATTACAATAATAATAACCTTTGCAACTTCACACCTGTGTTAATATATTACGCATATACCTGTCATACATGAATGATCATTAAGACACTCTGACTGGTAAGCACCTACCATATTTTTACAATACCAATAAGTTTGCCATGGTTGTGTGTATAATTTGCCCTCAGCTTTTAAATAATAATTATCAAGAAAACTAATTTTGTAGAAAGATTAAAAGGTATGATTGAGGATGGGACATGTGGTCCCTTTGTAAAATGGTAAAAATATCTTATTCATCATTGGCCCATCTGTAAGTTTAGCTATCAGTATCTTGGGTCTTTTGTGTCTGTCTAATTACACATTTACCACTGTATGTTGTTAAGTGATTTGCTATGGTGTGTTACACCAATAATGTCCAGAAGGCAAAATAATCATAGCTATTAATATCGAAAGAGATGAAATTAACACCTGTATGACATAGAGATTGATAAACTGTTTTCATTACATCACCGTTATTATTATGATCAATGATCTCCATTTTGTTTTTTAGATGAGACAAACAGATAACACTTATTTCCTGTACAGTTTGAGTATCCACCCTACCAGCTGGTCCATCAATACTGAATGAGTATTCCTTTATTAGCTCAATGATGGAGCCACCCTGACCACTGGGATTTAGCATGTGAAGGCTGTACCAGTTTACCAAAGCTACTAGATCAGTTTTAATCATAGATACAACCATGAGTAATTTCATTCCGTGTGATATACTGTATGTAAACCGAGGATTCAGTTTAGCAGAAGTGAATGGCTGGACCATGTCTGTGCAAATCTAATTTCAGGATATGAAGAATATTACTGCATAATAGTGATGGGAAATCAATTAAAATCTAGAATCAACTATCAATTAAAATCAGATAGGCTTTACAATGTAGTTAATTGATTAGATAATTGGCTGGCTGTGTGTTCAATATTCATACAAAATTAATCTACTTTGTGTGGATAAATTTGTAACTTTAACATGAAATATTTCACTTGCCTTGAATTAAGAATGAATATCATTGGCAACTGACATCTTTATTTTGCATAATATGAATTTTACTTTTACTAAAATTTAAGAAAATATCAAAATACCAATGATCGATTATGAAAAATTACAATGGATCATCACATCAGATGAGATTAAACAATAAGATAATTGGTTACATCTGCTCATCGTCCCATCTACACTGCATATTGAACAATTTTGTTTGCTAAATTTTGATACTCAAAGTCTATTGTGTTACTGAAAGTAAAATATATATAAATGTTACCAAAAAATGTTTGTCAATCACTCAACTTAATACTGTCATAAATATGAGTCCAGGAAAATTATCTACAAGAATGAAAATACATCGACCAACATCATTGGCTAAGCATGACCTCCTGAACTTCTTTATACAGATTGTTTGTCGGTGTCCGTTCATGTCTTCCATCTGAATTTTTCTAATTTCCTCTCAGATGTCTAGGTAGAAAGTCTTGTTCCGTATTATCATAAAAAAAACCCAGGTGACCAACATACATATCATAGTTCAAGTTTAAGTTTAGGGGATGGACTTATTGCAGAACAATGAAAAGCAGGTCTTGAACTCTACGGATCAGCAATAGACAAGGACGGGCTTATTACCAAGCATGGGCTTGTTGATGAATATATATTGTAGTTTAGTACACATTCTCATAGATCTAATACCTGTTTCACTACAGTCTAGTTTTCATGTACAATTTTATGTATTATGCTTATTGATTTAAACATTAATTCACTCACGTATCCTTTTAATAAACACTTTTATAGACACATGTGTTCGGTCTAGTACTACCCAAATACCATCCATCTTGTGTTAACGTACAAACCCAAACTGTTTTCTAAGTTCAGGTCCATATGGACATTGATTACTACATGGTGTGACAGTTGTACAGTAGCCAGAAGGTTTATTTATTTTCAGCTAAATAAGGTCAAAGATTCTTTCAATTTCCTGATTCTACTGCGGGAGAAAATCTATATGAAACAGTTCATGGAGCTCATTTGTTGGTGATCAACAAGATCTGTTTAATGTAAATCTTACATTAACTGTTAAAGCATTTGTGTATGTGCAAGTCCAATGATTTTGGATCTGTTTGAGTGAATCAACACCTCATATCAATTTCATTTCATCAATATACCATGTAATAAGAGCTCTGTGTGCTTAAAGGAAACACAAAAGAGCTGTGCTTAATAAAACTATATACAGGTTATATATAGTTTCCATGTGTTTAGATGTGACACTTAGGTATTAGAAAACAATTATATGGTGTTACATTTTCCCCTTCTGATCTCAATTGCAGGGATAACAGGAAAGCATGTCCATATATTGGACACATTTTCTGATATTTGAATATAAACTTAATTGCATGGTATCTAATTTCACATTATCTCTAATGACTGTGAACTAAGCATAATTAAATCTGCCATGAATATGACCAGCTATTTATCTACACCGAAAGTACCAACCCTGTTTATCTAAATTTGATTATTTTGAACTTTTCAACAGTTATCAGTAATGGCCTGCCCTTCTTTTCCATTTTCTCCTGTTGATGAAGAGATTTTAACACTCATAGTCATAAGACATAATGATGTTCTACTGATACAAAGTATCAGACTCTATAAAACAAACTTTACTGCCTTCAAAGCCAAGGTTATAACCTTAAAACTTCATATTCTACAATTTTTTTTTACCTTTTTTTCACTGTCCTTTATTTTCTTTTTCTTCTTGTCCATTTCTCGTTCAAATTTCTCAGTAAGATCCTTGAGTTTGACTTGCCATTCCATGTTGAGTTCGTCCGAGATTCTGCGGATCTCCTGACGACGATTCTGAGTAATCTGTTCGAGCAGCAAATCCTCCTCCCTACGATGTTCCTCTTCCAATCGCTTTTGAGCATCCAGCAACACATTCTTACGCTTCTTGTACTGAAACACAGGTAAACAACAGTTAATCATTAATACAAATTAGAAATTTCATATCAATAACTTTGTATGCATATCTGTCATGAATATGAGGGAAATGCTGTTTCTCCCACCTCTGCCCATGTAGGATAGACATGTCCCATGTGGAACACCCATGGAGGATAAATCTATCCCACATGACTGCACTCGGTGACCTCAGTCGGCTATCACAACTTACTCAAACCGACGAGTGGATGCCTTGTTTGCAGGTTCCGTAATGCGCGACTGTAACATCACAGTTAACATTAACTATAACAATCCTTGTCAAGTGAACACAAATAAACGTCGGAGGATCATCTATGACTCTGATTCTGAATGAACACACACGTGACACTCACACACCATTGCAATTTTTCGCGCGCATCAACAATTGACGTCATTATAAACTGGGAAATCCCTTTTTTGTCCATGACATCGCGGCAAGCCTACCCTACCTTAATAAATGATACAGAGTTAAATGTTTTTCAATACAAGTATTTCCATGTATCTATCTCTAATTAAAATATTTAATTTCCACAAAATTAATATTTCTAATGGTTATTCATATTGCGTTTATAGTTTGTCATTTTGCTCTCATGGAAGAATGTAGAATTTTGGAAACGTGAATGGAGATATTCATGCGCCATTCAGACACTTGTACCATGGGATTTTTTTTTTTTTTTTTGACGTCGTGGCAGAAATAATGGGGTGGGAGAGACTCGGGTTAGACAACAACAAAAATCACCCCTCGGGTTGGAGATTTCTCTATCACACCCTCAGGGTAAGGGAAGATTCTATTAATACTTAAACAATTAGTCTACCAACTTCATCCACTCCCGACACTCAATTTGAGAGCTCTACCCACTCTTCATACTACATCAAACTCCCCTTGAAAACTTGATCCACTCGTCCCAACATCTATCCATTCACACAATTTCACTCAGTCAACCAACTCCATCCACCCACCACCCACCTCCTACCCTACCCCCACCCCAACCACCTTATTCTCATTCCTTAGTCATCTCTACCTTATTTTTATTCCTATGTCATTTTAAGATGATTTTATAGACAGCTAAAACTGGTTATTAAAATCTTATGCAAACTGAACTAGATAACCCTGGGATTAAGGTACATATGCAGAGTACACACATTGTAACACAGGTGTCATATGTATGTATATGTATGTAGATGTTTTGTACATGTATGTCCTAAGGTATTGAGATTTTGTTTGTTCCGCTAGACATAATGGATAATATATATTGAAACACCTATAGACAGCCACCTGTGAAACAAGACCAAACAGTAATTAAGAAAAATGAGTAATTAAATCTATATGGGGCTCACAAAGGGATATTGTACATATTACATATAAATCAATGTTTTTGGCAAGTACAAAAATTACAACGGTTGATGTCACAGCTTTGTATTGCTGCCAGCACCCTACAAAGTGGCTGAATCATCAATCACGGATGACACATTGGACAACAGGAAGATAAAATATGTCTCAAATTCTCAAATCCATATGATACAGGTTTGTCCAATTTTCCACATTCCGTATGATTTTCTGTCAAAAATTATTCTCAATTTATGTGTTAAGTAACAGAAAGGATGCTAGTTTGGGACAATATTATTCAATTATATTTATTTCTCAAAGAAAAAAAATATTTCCATTGCAAATTTAAACGAAGGTGTACAGCAATTCTTGTGACCACATTGTGATATCCCAATCTATATACAATCCAAAAACTCCATCACTATAACTAAGCTTCAGTTCTATTTTTATAAACTTCTGTATCCCTTACCACAAACCTCTATATCTCTCATCACAAACCTGCGTCTCTTACCACAAACCTCTGTATCTCTGACCACAAACCCCTGTATCTCTTACCACAAACCTCTGTGTATCTCTTAACACAAACCTCTGTATCTCTTAACACAAACCTCTGTATCTCTTACCACAAACCTCTGTATCTCTTACCACAAACCTCTGTATCTCTTACCACAAACCTCTGTATCTCTTACCACAAACCTCTGTATCTCTTACCACAAACCTCTGTATCTCTTAACACAAACCTCTGTATCTCTTAACACAAACCTCTGTATCTCTTACCACAAACCTCTGTATCTATTACCACAAACCTCTGTATCTCTTAACACAAACCTCTGTATCTATTACCACAAACCCCTGTATCTCTTAACACAAACCTCTGTATCTCTTAACACAAACCTCTGTATCTCTTACCACAAACCTCTGTATCTATTACCACAAACCTCTGTATCTCTTAACACAAACCTCTGTATCTCTTAACACAAACCTCTGTATCTCTTACCACAAACCTCTGTATCTCTTACCACGAACTCTGGATCTCTTAACACAAACCTCTGTGTATCTCTCATCACAAACCTCTGTATCTCTCATCACAAACCTCTGTATCTCTGACCACAAACCTCTGTATCTCTTAACACAAACCTCTGTATCTATTACCACAAACCTCTGTATCCCTTACCACAAACCTCTGTATCTATTACCACAAACCTCTGTATCCCTTACCACAAACCTCTGTATCCCTTAACACAAACCTCTGTATCTCTTACCACAAACCTCTGTGTATCTCTCATCACAAACCTCTGTATCCCTTACCACAAACCTCTGTATCTCTCATCACAAACCTCTGTATCTCTTACCACAAACCTCTGTATCTCTTACCACAAACCTCTGTATCTCTTACCACAAACCTCTGTATCTCTCATCACAAACCTCTGTATCTCTTACCACAAACCTACCACGAACTCTGGATCTCTTACCACAAACCTCTGTATCTCTTACCACAAACCTCTGTATCTCTTACCACAAACCTCTGTATCTCTTACCACAAACCTCTGTATCTCTTAACACAAACCTCTGTATCTCTTACCACAAACCTCTGTATCTATTACCACAAACCTCTGTATCTCTTACCACAAACCTCTGTATCTATTACCACAAACCTCTGTATCTCTCACCACAAACCTCTGTATCTCTTACCACAAACCTCTGTATCTCTTACCACAAACCTCTGTATCCCTTACCACAAACCTCTGTATCTATTACCAGAAGTTCATTGTGTTTATATTTTGGTTCTGTACATATGGAAACATTTAAATAAAACGTAACATTCCACAAAGAGAAATAAGATATTCTCTGTAAAACCTGTAAATTTCTGAACAGCAGAAATTTGTCAGTAAAATACGAGTAATCTCCATCATTATTCTTTTACACTGATTTAGTTTTCATTACCTGATTGGCATTAAATGCCTTCCTAAGTCAAACAGCAATATGGTAGTACAAATTACAGAACCAAATAAGTTCATTATGTCAAAATATGTTATACAACTTGTGGGCAAAAGAATTGAATCCATAACCTTATATATCAAAACAAACATTTTACTACCTCGTCTATCATACAACAAAAATGTCCTGACAAGTATAGAAAATTATAAGAAATGTGTCTGAATTCATTTAGAATAACTAAATATCATATTCAATGAAACTTTTGAAGGAATTTCATATATTCCTACATTGATTAAGAAAGAAGAATATTGCTATGGTGATTGTCAAGTATGTAACCTCTATGCTTACACAATGTATAACACCTTCTACACTAAAGGTCACAAGTCTTTATTATTTACTTGTAGCATAACAGAAATAGGTCAGATTTTTACCCTTTTATCTAAATATTTGGAGTACTTGGATCAAATAGCCATTACAGTGTTCAAAATGTCAGTCAATATTTGTGTCTACTCCAAACGATCTTTGAGATAGAATGTACATGATAATTCACATGGTCCTGAGATATATATGTTCTATTTGTAGAAATGACAACCGTGTATTTGTTTAACAAATATAGACTGCAGAGGGAAATGTATGAATACAAACCTGTCTACAGCCAAAACTCACTAATAACGACCCAGCAATGCAAAGCTGTGCTGAAATCACCTGTCTAAATGTAACACCTATATATAACAGGTTAAACCTACCTTAGAGATCACAGTCTACAGTTACCACCTATATATAACCATTTAAAACTGCCTTAGAAATCACCAGTCTAGTTACCACCTATATAAAACCAGTTAAACCTGCCTTACAGATCACCAGTCTACAGTTAACACCTAAATATAACCAGTTAAACCTGCCTCAGAGATCACCAGTCTCAGTTACCACCTATATATAACCAGTTAAACCTGCCTTACAGATCACCAGTCTACAGTTAACACCTATATATAACCAGTTAAACCTGCCTCAGAGATCACCAGTCTCAGTTACCACCTATATAAAACCAGTTAAACCTGCCTCAGAGATCACCAGTCTACAGTTAACACCTATATATAACCAGTTAAACCTGCCTTAGAAATCACCAGTCTACAGTTAACACCTATATATAACCAGTCAAACCTGCCTTAGAAATCACCAGTCTAGTTACCACCTATATATAACCAGTTAAACCTGCCTTACAGATCACCAGTGTAGTTACCACCTATATATAAACAGTGAAACCTGCCTCAGAGATCACAGTATACAGTTAACACCTATATATAACCAGTTAAACATGCCTTAGAAATCACCAGTCTAGTTACCACCTATATATAACCAGTCAAACCTGCCTTAGAGATCACCAGTCTAGTTACCACCTATATATAACCAGTTAAACCTGCCCTAGAGATCACCAGTCTAGTTACCACCTATATATAACCAGTTAAACCTGCCTTAGAAATCACCAGTCTAGTTACCACCTATATAAAACCAGTTAAACCTGCCTTACAGATCACCAGTCTACAGTTAACACCTATATATAACCAGCTAAACCTGCCTTACAGATCACCAGTCTACAGTTACATCACTGATGTTGTTTTTCATCCTGTCACTATAAATGTTGCTGGACATAAATACCAAAGTGGGCAGTGGTCCACAGAAATGACCAAAGCCTGACTAAAGTGATCAAAGGCTT